GGAGGCGAAAGAACAGCCAAGGATGAGATGGTAGCCTAAGCGAGCACCAGGATCTTGTGAAATTGCCTGGTAGATTTTCTGCAGAATGTGTTTTCTGGATTGTAAACTATGGAATTCATATGGGGTAAGTTCAAGTTGTTTTAAATATTTTTTTACTTACCAAACAATTGTAGAATACATAAAGAGCATTCATGTGAGAACTCTCGCACCACTACTCAGGAGGACCCTGTCGAGAACTTTTCCATGCGCAACCAGTTACTTTTGGCCACTCAAAACAACACCTACATTAATTTGTTTTGGATGTTCAATCAATTTGTCTAGTGTTTGGTCAGAAACGTTTAGGCTACGCCGCTGTTGGTATCAATACCTTGTAAGATACAATATAACATCATGTGGCTACAATGTAGAAACATTGTTGTTACTTTGTAGCATGTTGACAGACACGTGATATTCTGGTCATGTAATCTGTCAAATGATTTAATTGATCTATTATCCTACACCTAGGTTATTGTTTGTTATCTGGCAACCTTAAAGGTCCAAATGCAGCCATATTTATATCCATATCAAATCATTTCTGGGTAACAATTAAAGGAAAACTCCACCCAAAAACTATCTTTTGGTATTTGTTTCATTAGTCCATTGTTGATATAGTCCCAAAATGTTTTGCATGTCAGCAATCAAGTTTTCAAGATATGTAACTGTCGAAATGCAGAAATCTGATCCGTATGATGCATTTTGCATCATATGATGCTGCGTTTTGCAGCTTTTGTTGTTGTTGACAATCTCATTATTTCACTTCACTTGTCCATAATCAAAAGTTTGTTTATAATCATTATGAATTATATTTGCCAAATAGCAAGTATACAACCCGTAGAATCTGTCAACTCTGTCAACTCTTTTACTTACGTTCTCTCCATGGGGGAAAACAATTCTCTGTAATGACATTTCTGTCAATTACTCTGCTCACAGCCGATGTTTACTGCATTTTGTTACCAGAGTGATCATTTCCACAAGGACATATTTTCACATTCATAATGAATGCAGGCAAAAAAAAATCGAAGAAAATGTCAATACAGAGAAGTGTCAGTAGGGGCCACAAAGCATTCATGTGAAAATAGGCAGGGCATGGAAACCATTATGTAACAATGATTACAGATAAAGCCAAGACCATTGCTGTGTTACTTGGACATAAAACTGGCTCCATGGATTGATGGGGATTCCTTGAATAGTTGTTGTGATACAGAATGTTTACAGTTGGACAATGGATACATCCCATTGGATGCACCCATTCATAACAAGTGGCTGTGTCAATGGTCTCTGATGAGGATGGCTTCATAAGATGGATACATGTCAGGACTTGTTTTTGGGTTGAAATAATATTTTCTGGAACTTCCCAATCTTGTAATTCCTGTATCATTCTAGATATAGTGTTTGAAGAAAAAAATGGTGATTATGTGGCACAAAGACAGTGGCACATCTCCTATCTTTACCTTAATGAAAGATTTCAGTGTATTTGTATAAAGCCCTTCACACTGTATTTGTACATCTAGGTTTTGCTTGTCATAAGGCAAACATTGTTTCGCCATGTGCCCCTGTGCTGACCTGAGGGTGCAGGTGTGTTTGTTCTGGTTTATGATTGGACAGGGAATGAACAGATGGTGTGTTTCACATTCCACACATTCTTCACACTATTGCCATGTGACATCTTACCAGTGAGAGACGCTCATTCCTACACCACCATGTCACTTGTGTAACAGGTGTTGGTATTGTTTTGCTTTTTCCCTGTTGCGACATGTTTTGACGATCAGTGCTTAGTTTGCGCTGTAAGGATTATGTAAGAAATTAATTTATATGGATGTGCCCCTGTAATCCTTTCTAAATGAACCCTATAGCTGCCTGTCTACAGACACTATACTTGGGTACTATAGCACATAGCTAGGTACTTTGTCATCAACTCCACCTGATTTAAATCTCTGATATGTTTTACATTTATTTTTCATCACCCAAAACATTCTACAGTAGACAGTGCTGTTATTTCAGGTTTTTCTTTCAGCATTATCCAAACAATATCATGAATTAACATTAAATTGTTACAATGGCATTCTATCAAATGATGTATCAATTCCTTCCTCGCTGACTGGCTGTCAGTCTTGCCACAGCAGCCTTTATCTAGCACAGTATGTCAAGGTCACTACTCAGGGCTGTCTACAGGAGCTGACTGTGAGGCAGGCAGTCGTCAGACAGTCTGGTGGGGAACCGTGCGGCCTGCAGACAACATGGTCCCATTCCAAATAGCGCTCTATCCCTATATAGTGTACTACGTTTGACTAGGGCCCATCCAAATGAATGCACTATATAGGGAATAGGGTGCCATTTGAAACGCCTTGCCCCCTGCTGCGTCCGTTCCTGAAAATCCAGTTAAACAATTGATTCGGTGCAGGCCTTCCTGAAATCAATATCTTGTTAAAAGATAAGTGCGGGGTTAAAATGCATAGCCTGCCACGCGGGGAAATTAGGCCCCCACTGTAATTAGAAGTGATGCTTACTGGGAGATTTCTATCAGAACACTGTATACCAGGTAGCCGCTAGCCTAATCATCTGGGCCTGTATTCATAAAGCATCTCAGAGTAGGAGTGCAGATCTAGGATCAGGTCCCCCCCCTGTCCATTCATTAGCCTATAACCTAAAAGCCAAAAGTGATCGTAGATTGTCCTTGTTAGCATGTAGCTGGTATGGTAGGCTAGTTGTATGCTGTTTTTACGTCAAGGTGCTCCATTATCTCCAAACGTGATGGGGTAAGAAATCACAATGTAGCATAGGCCTACATGCTATTGAACATAATATGGTTTCAATAGATCAAAATACATTTGATTGAAGGATAAAGATTCAAATATCTTGAAAACATAATTCTTCTTTGGCCACTCACCACTTCATTGTGCTTGCGATATCTGAAGTATGGATGGTGATCATCAATCATTCATATTTCGCAGCACTTTGGGCTATTATTGAACTTAGCCCAGCCCCAGGTTTTTACTTAACTCGCAACGCCCACACCATTGCTGCTACTGCATGATAAGGACTATGGAAATGATATTCCCTGAGGAAAATTCTGCAGTTTAAGTAACTTTCAGTGTTGGGTAACTTGGGTCACATGCTGCACAATGCACATAGTCAACAATTTAGGATTTCACTAGCTGAATTATGCAGCTGAATATGTACTAAAGCTCTAACGTAGAGGACAAGGCACTGCTGCACTGTTCAAACACTGTTACCGGGGATTGCTGATCCACAAATCTGTGTTGTGTTCGTTGTTGTTTTTCATAGTTGACTCTCCCAACCACTGCAGATTTCTTACCACTGAGTTATTGGACTAATGAGGGATTGTTCAAATAACAGCTTTTTAGCAAGGGTCTGGAGTTGTATCTGTGTGGAATGCTGCATAGTAGCTTTATAAATGGACATTAACTCAGTCTTTCATCTTTTTGCTGTGCATAAGGAGAAGTCTGGCTCTTGCAGTTAAATAGTGGACATTTCTAATTTTCTGATTATATTTTCAGACAGTGGTGATTCACTGTAGCTTGCGGCAAACATTAAAGCAGACACATGGAGTCACTTGCAAATGTTAACTGTAAATGGTCAACAAATTGAAAGGGCCTCTTATAAGTATCTTTGTATTTGGATAGATAAAAAGCTGAGTTTCAAACAGCACGTTGACATTTTTTTCAGGAATAAATCGTGTTTCTCTGTCAGTAAGGAAAGTCCTTGTCCAAGGGACTGTTTTTTATCTGTGCTATATTATGGTGATGTTGTTTACATGCAAGCCTCCTCTAATGCTCCTTTGTCTTGGAACGAGCTGCAAAATACTTTAAAACTAGAGGAGAGCATATCGCTTTTTCAATTAAAGCTCTCATAGAGGATAATGTTGTTGACCATTGTGATTGTTTTTATTGTATTGTATTGTGCTCTTGTGTTAGGTGTACATGCTGACTACTTCCTGCTGACCTCTTGCCAGGTCCCCCTCAAAAAATATGTTTCTAACCTCAAGGGTCTTTTCCTGCTTAAATAAACTTTAAAAAATAAAATCTTCAGATTTTGGAAATTGCCATTTCCGACTAATGATAAGCATTGTCTTATATTTGAGGGTTAATCGATTTTTGGTTTGGGAACAAAAGGAACACCCTAACATCTTATCTACAGTATAATCAGTATGAAAAATGTATAACCTCACTAACTGTAAGTCGCTCTAGATAAGAACGTCTGCTAAATGACTAAAATGTAAATGTAAATAATCCTCCTAAATAGCATCTTGCAAGCTTCCGATACCCATCCCCCCTATGGGTTTCCAATCGCTTGCTCTAGCGCTCTGTGCCTCTCTCTCTGTCCCTCTCCCTCTCTGTCTTTCTCTCTCTCTCTCGCTTCCTCTCTCTCGCTCTCTCTCTATTCTCTCCCTCTTCCTTTCTCTCATACATGATGATGCCCCTAGAGTTGTGTCCTACATCAGTCGAGTAAGGCAGCAAATTATTTTGTAATTAGCCTTAAAGCGTGGCTCTAAATTTGTCCTGTGCGTCCTGTGGTTCCAGCAGTTCAGCTGCAGTAGCTTCACCGGCAGATGTTTCGGTACAGAAAGAGCGAAAAGGAGAAAGAGAGCGAGGAGAGAGAAAGACTGAAGAGGGAAGTACTTGCAGTTCTGTTCGATTCTGCTAAGAGGAACGGTGGAGTGCAGTTACAGCAATTGATTGAATAAATGCGGTAAAATCTCTTCCGCTGCTGGCATGCCAAAAAGGAGAGAGAGACTAATGAAGTGAAGGTTAAGAATTGCTGGCGAGAGGAGAGAGTGAGAGGGATGAAGAGAGGGAGGAGTATAGGGAGATAGATAGCGGAGTGGGACAAGAGAGATGGGGAGACCAGGAGAAGCATGGAGTGTCAGTTCAGGGAGAAATAGGTGGGATTCCAGACTGCAGGAACAAAACTAAGTATTTCCGAAGACAGAGTGATTATCAATGGGATGGCTTCGCAGTACTGCAGAAGATGGACAGTTAAAGGGAAACGACTTTGCCTCATTGGCTGATAGTGCTGGTCAGTGTTTAGCCAATCGGGTGCTGACCCTGTCCATCTCCTCCTCAGATGATGGGGAACAGCTGTGACCGAGGTACTGATTCACTCTCCTGTCTTTTTTCTCTAATTAGGGTCTATTGTTTTGGAATTAAGTTGATTATTTATGCTTAATTCTCATGTGTGCAGAGCACCATCGTTAAAAAGCCATTATGTTCGAAGTTTCTCTGTATGGACTGCTGCTTGCACAGCGTCTTTTCATTTAGGGTACTGTATACGTGTAATGCTCCATATGATGTGTTTGCTAGCATGTCTTTCACAAACACTGAACAGAATATTTGCCTAACTTCTTTGATCATCTTTACTTTGTGCTGTTTGTCAGTGTCCATAGTTGATATAATGCAGTAAGGATGTGCATGACGTTTGATGGGTGTCTCTCTCCCTCCAAGCCACCCCCGGTCAGAGAGCTCAGTCTTTCTGAATTATGATGCATGCAGCGTTTAAGACGGACCAGGCTGCAGCCAGGGGTGCCAAGAGGACAGTGTCTGAGAGTGAACTTGATATAGCACTTTGCAAAGTAGCCTTTTGAATAAAGCTGACTGCTGCATACTGTCTCACTTGTGCCTAAGTTGAATATAAAGGATAGATTACAGTTAGGGCTAGCTTTAGGGACAACCTGATCGAAACGTGGAATCTGACACGTGTTGCTCTAGTCTTGAGGTTATCTCAGTTCATTATCTTGTCTGCTAGAACTTGTTATTTTACTTCAAGTGGTTCTGGGTCGTTCTTTCACAGAGCATTCATGTTGCACAGGGTCAATCTGCTCTAAAATGGGGCTAAATTTAGCTTCCAATCAATCGCTCTCTGGATATTGGCCAGGGATCTCAATGTGACGGATGGTTTGAGACTTCTGTATTTGGAAGATGTGGCTTGCATTCTTGCTCTGTGCAACATTGGTAAGGCACTGGCAGGCATTTGTCTTGTATGCAGCTGCAGCAGAAGCTGCACTGGCTGTGGAAGTAAAGGTTGTGTCACAAATGGCACCCTATTCCCTCAAAAGTAGTGCACTACATGGGGAATAGGATGCCAGTTGGGACGTAGCCAGGGACTAGAGAAATTAGAGGGTCTTTGTCAGTTGAGGGACTGCTCCAGCCTCCTGCCTCCTGCCTCTAACCTGACCTGCCTGGGCACTGCTCCAGGAGGCTTGGCTGAGCTGACACTCCGGTGCCCAGGCTTACTGGGGCCTAGCAGCTGGAGTCCCATGACAATGGCCCTGCCCTGCTGCTGTAAACTGAGACCACCGGAGGGAAGAATAAATGTGGGTGGGGTCCATCCTCATCCTTGACACAGAAAGCCATAACCTTACCGTACAGAGAGAGACAGAATAGTTTGTCAGAACGGACCAAAAATAACTGGCTTCTACAGAGAAACAGATTCATATTGTCATGTTGTTTTTTTCAGCCTGCCTGTTCAATGAGGATTACAGTGAAGCACAATCAGTGACTTTATAGCTGAAACCTCATTGTTAATGAATTACAAACCCCTCTGAATAGCATTCTGAGATGGATTTTTTGTTGTTCTATTAACCATTTACTTGAGTTAGTGGCATTCATTCAATGCCATAGCTTGTCTTTTGGGGGAACAACACAGACTCTTGGCAGCCTGTGGCCTGAGGTAATTGCTTGCTTGATACAGCCCGTCTCTGTCTGGGTGTTCTATCTGTCCTCTACATGTACACACATCACTCTGGCTCCCTCTCCCAAATGTCGCAGCATCTGTGTTCATAGAACTCAACATCCACCAGTCCAGGTTTCAAGGCAGCTATCTGTTTTGACTAATGTCTCTCGTGCTGGGGACTGGTCTAGTGGTAGTACTGCTGCCCCCAGGACCAGATATACCCCTGGAGGCAGCGGTTCGATCCCCTGTTCCATCACTCACTTTCCCTCCTGTAGCTCATCAGTCTCCCCATCTCATATTCTGACCTGTACTTGTTAATATAACTGTTTAAAAAAATTATTAATGTATAATGTCTCTCTCTCCCTGCCCCCCCCCCCCCCTCTCCCTCTCTCTCTCTCTCTCCCTCTCTCTCTCTGTTGTCCACAGAAGTGTCTGCTGAGAGGTCCCCCAGGAGGCGGAGTATCTCAGGCCTGGGGAGTTCAGAGAAGAACATATCGCTGGACGTACCCAACACATCCCCCTTCAAAGTACCAGTGAGTTCTGTTGTTATGATTCAAAAATGTGTTTATTATCCAATGTACACTGATGTCCAACAGAAACGTGTCTTTTGCTTTATTCTAACCCCTCTAAAAAACACAAACATTAGACATGTTAAGTCTCTTTGTACCGTCATTGTTATGTTCAAAGCAATTAGCACACCATTAAGATTTCAATCCATACTTTATTCCTTTGATATCTCCTCAAGTTTGAAGCACATTGGCAGACAGCAGAGCCAAGCCTGCAGTTGGTTAGGCTTTATCTCCACTGTTAAAACTCCCCAGAGCTCCAGTGATGGCCATGGGCTTTCAGCTGCTCAGTCAGTGTGTAAAACTCTCTGCTATAAACATGGTCTTCCTATCCCATCGTAATGGAGACTCTGGGTCTGCGTCCCAAAGGGCACCCTATTCCAAATATAATGCACTACTTCTATGGACCCTGGTCAAAAGTAGTGCACTATGTAGGGAATAGGGTGCCCTTTGGGACGCAGCCCAGTCAGCATTGATTGGAGCCGTCATACACCAGGGAGTTTAACCTTGTTATACCACCCTGTCTCTCATACTATACATTCTGATTCATGTCAGTATGGTCTCCTCCTCAAAGTGAAGCAGTACTTGTCATTATTGTGTTGGGCTGAGGAGGGTTCATTCATAGAATTACCTATAGAACTATAGAGAAGTAATTTATAGGATCTCTTATCTAGCCGTGTCTTGCCATAGATTATCTTAGAATACATCAGCATTCTTCTTATTTTCAGAGGTAGACTAGAAGTCTATAACCATCTCAATAACATTGTTGTGAAGTAAATGTAAGAGTGTTATGATGCGGTATGTTACGATGCGGTATGTACATCTTAGAAAACCTCTGCTTGCTAATCAGAGACGACGTGGGAGTGTGCCTCAAAGGACTGCGAATACACAGACGCATGCTTTTGATGATATTTATAACCAAAAGAATTGGGCCATGGCATGCATCACTGAAACTCGTACCTTTGGCATGTTATAGGGCTTCTTGTTACGGGTTTAGAAGATTTAGTTACAGATAGACGATGACATGTTGATAGTTTCAGATTCACCAAAGGGTCTAGTGGGTAGTAGCATCAGATAGGTGACTCATGTTTGTCTCCTTGTTTGTCAGTTTCTAGACTAGCTATTTTACCTGCGCACCGATATTGGAACGTCAGAGAGGTTCAGGTTGGGTCTCAGAGTGGGGAGTGCGGGTGGAATCAGGTCCATGTCATCTTATTCATTATGATCTAAAAGGCAACACTGATCCAAGATCAGCACTCCTACTCTGAGACACTTTATGAATACAGGCCCAGGCACTCCCAGCCCTCACTATGGAGTAGCCTAGCGTTTGTCTACTTGATGGAAACTAACATCCCCCAACCTCATGCTGGTTGTGGACCAAGTCAAAGTGAAGGCTGCTGTCCGGTTGTGCTGACATGACAGGCTTTATAAATGCAGGCACCCGGGGGAGCAGAGGGGAGAGGGTTGTGCTGTTGTTGTCTCTGACTGAAAATGAGACGTTTGAGACACCTCCTCCACACTGCCAAGGTGAATGAGAAAGTCGAAAAGCTGACAAAGACTTCCAGTGCTCGTCCTCTCTGTGGACGTACAACAATCCCTCGCTACCGCTCTCTCCCTCTCTTTCTCCTCTTGCTCTTAATCCTTCTCGCTCTCTCTCTATTGCCTTTCTGCCTCTCTCTCTCTCTGCCCCTCTCTCTCTTTCTCTGCCCCTCTCTCTTTCTCTGCCCCTCTCTCTCTCTCTGCCCCTCTCTCTCTCTCTGCCCCTCTCTCTGCCCCTCTCTCTCTCTGCCTCTCTCTCTCTCTCTCTATCGCCTCTCTCTCTCTGCCTCTCACTCTCTCTGCCCCTCTCTCTCTCTGCCTCTCTCTCTGCCTCTCTCTCTCTCTCTCTGCCTCTCTCTCTCTCTCTCTGCCCCTCTCTCTCCTCTCTCTGCCCCTCTCTCTCTCTCTCTCTCTCTCTCTGCCCCCTCTCTCTCTCTGTCTGCCCCTCTCTCTCTGCCCCTCTCTCTCTCTCTCTGCCCCTCTCTCTCTGCCTCTCTGCCTCTCTCTCTCTCTCTCTCTCTCTCTCTCTCTCTCTCTCTCTCTCTCTCTCTCTCTTCTGCCTCTCTCTCTGCCTCTGCCTCTCTCTTTTTCTCTCTCTCTGCCTCTCTGCCTCTCTCTCTCTCTGCCTCTCTCTCTCTCTCTGCCTCTCTCTCTCTGCCTCTCTCTTTCTTTCTTTCTTTCTCTCTCTCTGCCTCTCTCTCTCTGCCTCTCTCTGCCTCATCTCATCAAATCATGTACAGTATATCATCGTGAGTCATTTTACAGAGCGTTTCAACACCTAATATAGTGGAGTGCACTTCATAGTGTTTATTGCAGCTTTGCTAATAAGTAACATGGCTTCCCTGTGCAGACTTGGCAATACTCTCTGAACGTCATAGAGGTCACAATATGCACTCGGTGTTGCATTACCATATCCTATATCAACATACAGGGTAAGCATTATACAGTAGTTGGAGTACAATAGATTTTCTTTTCCAAGATATACAATATCTGACACTGACTAATTCCTTCTGCTGTCAAAGTGACAAAGTTACACAATGGCAAAATTAGTGACACGTTTCCACTGCCTCTGACATACTGCTTATCTGTTAATGTATTTCTTCAACCATTTAATTAAGTAAAAAAAGAACAACAATTGCGTACTGTATATATCCTGATCATATTTTATTTGATATCTCAACTGTTACTGTAAAATGAGCAGAAAAAGCTCAAGGAAGTGATTGGGTGTTAGATATGACTAATACTGCGGTTAAAGGTGTCTCTGTCTCAGCTCTGACTCAAGTCCCCTATCGGTTTCAATGTGTCTACTCTTTCTGACATCATCATAGTATTCAGTCTGAGTGGGGTTGTTTCACAACCCACCAACACTGTTCAGTTTCCCGTGTTTCACCAGAGCATGACAATGCATTACAATGGAATTCATTCCCCAACTTCATTGTGGTCAGCTGGTCACTCACACTAGCTACTAATTCACAGAATGAGCATACAAAAGTCTAAGACAAGGACAGTGTTGTACACAACGTCATTTTGCAATTATGTAGGCTACACATTACACAACATTCGTTAAAAATGAGTTTGAAATTGACCTGATAGAGTATGACCTGTGTGACACATTGGCCACTCATTACCACAGCACCTCTCCCAATACAAACACAGACTAGCCGCAACAACCGCTGGTGCCCACAGTAGACACACAGCCAGACATAGTAACAAATGTGTGTCTATGAGTGTAGAAGTTCTCCTGAAGGTAATTTATTCTGTTGTACATTTTTAGGGGTTTTTCAGCAAACGTCTGAAGGGATCCATAAAGCGGACGAAGAGTCAGACCAAACTGGACCGCAACACCAGCTTCAGACTGCCCTCCCTGAGACCTTCAGAAAATGACAGGTAGGCTATTCACTCATCTCCTTCCATATTTCAAATGTTTCAATACAAAGGATCTGCATCTACAGTTCACATGGCTTGTCTTAATTCTGCCTCTTTAGGCCTGAGGGACTGCTCCTGCTACTGATCTTCATTTGGTTATTCATTTTCACCACATAAAAGTATATGCTCTTGGTCTTCCTTATGTGGTTCATTGCTGATGGGCCATGGATGTCCTTTCATGATGATGATAATAGATATATGATTATGGAGATGTAGAGAGGCGAGTGGGGGCGAGGTGGCTAGTCAGAAGTAAGGATGGAGAGAGTTTCTCCTGTGGTGTGTGTTGTATTGTGGTGTGCATCACAAAGTGCAATTACTACATTCATCTGTAATACCCTGTCTGTTGCGTGGGATTGATTACCAAGGTGCTGGTTTATACAGCATTTATACAGCCTTTTAAGAAGATACCCACATCTTACATTATGTTCCCATCCATTATCAGTCCTGAGTGCTATTCCGAGAAATGTGTCTTTAATTCCAGGATTATAAACCTGTGCTATAATGGCATTACTGTAGGCCTGACTGCTTTCTTCCCTCCCTCACATGCAGTCAATATAATAGTAGAATTAGGCATTGTTGTATCCATACATGTGAGACCAAGACAAAGACAGATGTAATCCTTTGTTACAGTGTGCTACCCTCCTTTTCGTTGGTCTGAACAGTGGATAGCTAATGTTGATATGTTTGGGGTTCTCAATGCTCCAGTGAGTTTGCTGAACAGTATTGGTTTGAGGAGGGGAGGGGAGGTGGAGGGGGGGCTGCCTGTCACCTCCTCCCTCCTCCTCCCTCCTCCTTCCTCCCTGCTCTAAGGAGGGGGGTCACCCCATGCTGGTCTCTCTGCTGCCTGGCGTGGGCCGAGTCACCCCGTGTTCATATACAGCTCCATGCGCCAGGCAGAATATGCAGAGTCAGTACCATTACAGAGATACTCACTCACTCACTCTCTGACTGTACTGTGCAGATTGTAGCCTACAGAGTTAGTGATGAACACAGGCTAGCGGCCATAGAGATAAGTACTGTATCTATCTTTATGCTAGTGGCTGAGCGGGTAACTGGTAGGCTACATGCTTATAGTACTGTCAGCTTTCCCTGGGATGACATGACATCTGTCACTGTGTACAGCAGTACGCCCACGTGGGTGACGTCTGCCTGCCCTGTGAGCCAGCGGAGTAGTGAAAGTGGACTTTAGAGGCATTAGAGCCAGCAGGACTGGGGGATAATGGTCGGCATGAGGATGAGCTGCAGCCTCTTTCTGCAATCGTTAACTAACGTCAGTGACTCCCAGTAAGGACCATACTACAGCATCAGCATGGCCGCCATGGCGACCAGCGCCACCTCTTCACTCCTCAGGAGGGCCAGGAATGCCCACCTACCTAAGTCACTGCGCTTCAGGTAGGGAGGGCAGCATCATAGAAATAGAACTCATTCTAGTTGTGTGGGCAGCATGTCTCCTCCTGGTTACAGAATGCTGGGCTGAATGACCAGGGCATTGTTTGCTACATTTATAATGATCTGATTGGTGACAATCCTATCTTTCGTTTTTATTTGATGTAGATGGGACATGTCTCCTCTGCTGTAAAATGTGATGTTTTGTTATTTCATACAATACTACACTGTTTTTGTCCCATCTGAACCTGCTAAATTATAGAAATTACAGCATGCAATATCATACCAGGTTGAATTCTATGTGATTCTGCTTCAAAGTACTACTAGTTCATAATCAGATAGCATTTTGTTAATTCAAGGAGCTGCGGAGCGGTGGTGTGGTCAGAGCTAAGTACGTTCCTCTCCTTCCTCCCAGCGGACGTATCAGGTTTCCATCCTAATGCAGTGGACATAGTGAGGGCTGGCGTTCAGAAAGGCAACCTGATTAGTTTTCAAAAGACTTTGAGGATGACGGCAGCAGCTCGTTTTAAAAAGATTAGACTCCCTGAGAGGACATACATTTTTTGACTTTTTCACCACAAGTGCTCTGCGACGAATTTCAATATGTCGGATATCCACTTATGTGCTGATAAAAACACAGATTGTTCTCAACATAATGCATCTTTCTCTAAACAGTGTAATGAGACAGCTCAAAGCACAACAAATTACCTGTACGCCCACAATGTGTTTACGACTTAAAGGCAAACTATGACTCACAGGTACAGATATAAATAAATAATCAGGTTATGATTCACATCAGTATCATTGTTGTATGCATCTTTGGAATCATTTGCTGGATTGAGAGGGCAGATCTGTTTCCTCCCAAACCCTTAATCTGGGTTTACATAATTCAGTTGGCGAGGCATGTTGCATGTTGAGAAGGCGGATGCCAAAAGATTACGAGGGCACAGATGCACTCTGCAGCAGACTGAAGACACAGGCACGCACAATGGATGGATGTGTGCTAGTGAATAGTGAGGCGGCTGCAGACTGAGAGAAGAGGACAGAGGAGTCTGCTTTCTCTCTCCTCCGTTGGCACTCCTATTACTTGTTCAAATGGTAGGCATCAGCACACCCACTCCCTTGTGTGTGAGCTTTTGCATGATCCCCTTATAAGCTTCTGTTCTTCAAAATATCAGTCTAGACTACCTGGTTGATAACTTTGTTGTGACACCGTACAAGCAAGATAATGAGGAGAAAATGTTATCCCTTTATATATGGGGAACTAAAAATACTGATGTTGCAAATCTGAGACATAGTGTGTGTTCCAAATAGGACCCTATTCCCTACATAGTGCACTACTTTTGACCAGAGCCCTATGGGAATGCGAATTATAGAGTGCCATTTGGAATGCAACCATAGTAGGTATGGGTCATCTTTATGCAAGAACTGTCCTGTAAGGAGATAAGTTGATAAGTAATGAAGAGTGGTATTGTGATGATGCTTGGCTGGTGAGGTAGGTAGGATGTTGTTTTATAGTTGTATGTAGGCCATGATGCTTTAACCCAGACATGGGCCACATAATTCATGAAGACTATTCGCCAGGCCATTGCGGCCAATAGCAACAGACAGACAGTTTGTTTTCTCAGCATGGTATCAGGATAACGACGCCTTAATTCTCCATATGCCTCAAAAGACAAACATAATCAATTAAGGCTTTGGCCTCTTAGGATCATTGTTACCTCATTGTGAACAATGACCATACTATAGGTAGAATGACACACACATCATGTTTCAAGGGCCTCTCAGAAGGACCTTGAATGTCTCTTCTTTTAAGCGTTCGATTTTTCTAACTAAGTGGCCCTAAAATAATTACTAATATTTGCCTCTCTTCTCTGAAAGTTTACCAGACAAAATCTATTTTTATTACGGTATACAGCTTTATTTTATTACAATAATGCCTCCAGACTACTTCCTCCTAAAATGTATCTTTGTCTTCGATAGCTCGTAAACACAACATTGATTGTCTGGAATCTCTTACTCTCACTCACACTCGAGGGTGCCCTGTAATTCAGAATAAACTACTTTAACTGCTTTCAATTAATATCTAGTATTAACCACTGCTACTGACTACTTAGTTGTCTTCTAAACAATGAATGATTACCAACAGCTGAAAGTGACAACAGATCTGAATCGAATTGCAATGATCAGTCCATGGGAATTACTATCTATCCAAGTGATAATGCTTGTACATATGTCCATCCCCTAGGGATGACAGCGAACAAAATGGTCCTCGTCACTAAAGTGAATTAGATTTCTTGATCCCTGATTCTTAGAAGTCATCTGACATGTGGCGATTATGTAAGCCTACTGTTATATATTATGCATTTTGTGTTGTGCATGCATTACATTGCTACACATTCAGTCAGTGATTGTATCCTTTGACTAACATTTCCCTTTCCTACCATTTGGCTATTATGTAAGGGTCTATTTTTGTGTTATTATTAGGGCTGTGATTATAGCAGTGTCGCTATATTTTTTCCATTGCAAAAATGAAAACATGAAGCAGACTTAACTCTTTGGTCCTTTTAAAAACCTGCTGTATGTCAAATATTTGTTTGCTATAGCTTGGAAAACAAATAAATATGACTCTGGATGACAACATAATGACGTTTGTTTCCAACATTAGGGCTGTTTTCCTACAGAAGTTAAATCCGCTTCGTATTTTGTTTCCTTGCCACGACACTCACAAGTATTGCGATACTGGTATCTTCCCAGCCCTAGTAATGTATTTTTCAATTATCATGCAGTGTTGCATTTCATAATTGTTGCACTTTGAAAATGAATGGTTTGCTAGTTGGAAAGCATACAGTCCTTTGCTAAACAACACCTGTTGACTTCCATTCCCCTCCCCTACCTGTAGTGTTGTGCTCTGATGGAAAGCCCAGGTAGTTTTGTCCGAGGTGTTTGTGAGCAGAGCAGCACATCCCTTCGTCATCCCATGCTGCTGCACTTGAGTTAAGTCTCCTTGTAGTGGCATTCCTATGGAAACAGGCTCAAGGGTCCGACAGATGGGCCAGCCCAGGTCCTTGTTTACCACCTGTGAATCAAAGGAAAAGTAGTTACAAAGGGAAGCTGGAAAGGCCTTGTATATGCTGGTCCTCCTTCACTTTTTACAGTTTCATGGAAATAGAATGATAAGGAGTTGAGACTGAATGGTAAAGGCAGTAGAACCAAGGACAGTGGACTGGAACTGAAAAGAGAAGAGAACCGTCCCAAAAGGAATGGAATGAGATCCAGATAGAGAGATGCTCTGGGGATATTCCTTCAACTGGCTGTTCATTTGTTTTTCATAGGTATTACTGCTTCCTGGAATGTTCTAGTGAGTGATTGCTGGAATAGTGCGGATAAATCTTGAATGACAGTCTTAAAGAAAGACAACAGCTGGTTGTATTTTGGGATCACATGCACAGTATACATTTTTTAGGGTCCTCCAACTTGCAGTGTGTTGGTTTTAAAGCTTCCTAGTGGCCATTTTTTATCTGTGGTGAGTACAACTTGTCAGCGGAGGAGTCCAACATCTTTTGACACATTTAGGGATTTAGCGCCTCAGAGCAGAATTGTCTCCCATGCTGTGAATGCTCTGAATTAAGAAGTAATGATGTAAACCGTAACCAAATGCCATGTTTCTGTCTTCCAGATCCCGAGGGCTGCCTAAGTTAAAGGAGTCGTGTTCTCACGAGTCCCTGCTCAGCCCGGGAAGTGCAGTAGAAGCCCTGGATCTGGGAATGGAGGAAGATGTTTACGTCAAGCCTCTCCACAGTAGCATACTGGGACAGGAGTTCTGCTTCGAGGTAACATCTTGTTCAACTACTTTGATAAAGCTATTGTAAATATAATAATACTTGTTAATGAGTGCTCGCTGTGCCTCAATACAAAGGCAGCTAGCTGCCTGCTGCCTAGCCATAGACTCCTAGGTGATGTAATGCATTAAAAAGCCTTTAGTTATGCTCATCATGCTTCTGTCTCTGTCCTCTCCAGGTGACCTACTCAGGAGGCAGTAAGTGTTTCAGCTGCTCCTCAGCCTCAGAGAGAGACAAATGGATGGAGAACCTGAGGAGGACGGTCCAGCCAAACAAGGTGAGACCACAGGCTGTGTCCCAAATGGCACCCTTTTCCCTATATAGTGCACTACTTTTGACCAGGGTCCATCTGGTCAAGGTTAGTGCACTATATAGGGTATAGGGTACAATTTCGGACACAGAAATATTGATGCCCTCTATATTTTCTTAAGGTGACCCACTCTTCTTCACTTCTTGTTTTTTAGTTTCATTTTCTTACCAATATCAGTTTAGTTATAACTGTGTTATTAAGGGTCAATGTTCCCCCTCATTGGGATTCAATACTCATTTGATGTCTTCCCAGGACAACTGCCGACGAGCAGAGAACGTCCTCCGGCTATGGATCATCGAGGCCAAGGACCTGCCTCCAAAGAAGAAGTATTTCTGTGAACTGTGCCTGGATGACATTCTATACGCGCGCACCACCAGCAAGACCCGGGCTGACTGCCTGTTCTGGGGGGAACACTTTGAGTTCTACAGCCTGCCTTCTGTCCGTAGCATCACCGTGCACATCTACAAGGACGTGGACAAGAAGAAGAAGAAGGACAAGAACAACTACGTGGGCCTGGTCAACATCCCCATCGGGGGGGTGACGGGGAGGCAGTTTGTGGAGAAGTGGTACCCTGTCAGCACCCCCACCACCAGCAAGGGCAAAGGAGGAGGGCCGTCGATCCGGATCAAGTCCCGCTTCCAGACCATCTCCATCCTGCCCATGGAGCAGTATAAGGAGTTTGCAGAGTTTATCACTAACAACTACACCATGCTGTGTTCTGTTCTGGAGCCGGTGATCAGTGTGAAGAACAAGGAGGAGATGGCCTGTGCCCTTGTTCATATCTTACAGAGCACCGGACGGGCCAAGGTAATTCCTATACTTTAGAAACTCCATCTCTGCTCTGAACAGACTACTTCTCCATCATCTCTCCCACTGTGCCTCCCTCCCTCTACTGGCTATAACTTCCTCGGGGTATCCCATTCAGTTGTGTCCATCTATTTGCCTACATTCATATTAGCACCTCTAGGACATTAAGTACCATACTGCAGTTTTTCCTTCTCTGCAGACATTGCAATCTCAGTAAATCAAAGTTCGCTCTCCTCCTCCACCCCAGGACTTCCTGACAGATCTGGTGATGTCAGAGGTGGACCGGTGTGCAGACCACGATGTCCTGATCTTCAGAGAGAACACGCTGGCCACCAAGGCCATAGAGGAGTTCCTCAAACTGGTGGGACAGAAGTACCTGCATGACGCACTAGGTGAGAGGGGAGGGTTAATTATATAAGAGACCTTAGAAAGTGGAGACCTCACAAATGTAAACATTACAACTTGCAGTTCTGAAGACAGCGTCACATTTGGTAGCAAAGAGCGGTGCAACTGCGGTAGACTGGTTTGCAAACTATTCCATGTTCTTAGTCCATGGCGTATTACTGTTCTTCAACCCAGTCTGTGTTTTCTCCTGAATACTGTAGGAGAGTTCATCAAAGCACTGTATGAGTCAGATGAGAACTGTGAGGTGGACCCGGGGAAGTGTTCTGCCAGTGAGCTCCCTGAGCACCAGAGCAACCTGAAGATGTGCTGCGAGCTGGCCTTCTGCAAGATCATCAACTCCTACTGGTGAGATCAGCCTCTCAGCACTCTGACCCTGAAGTCACATATAGCCAAAGGGCCTTGGTTTGCCTCCACTTAGGGCAAGTCAAAAGTTCTAGCTCCTTGTAAATGGGTAGCTACAGCATTATGTGAATAAAGAAGAATATCTGTAAACATTGATGACTCCAATTTTTGGGGACTTGCTTAGTCTTGCTGTTCTAAAAGAGATTGTCATAGAGTTGGTTGATACATCTGGCATGGCTTCAATATAGTGATGATGTAAAGTGCATGCTGCCACCTGGTGGTTATTTCTGGTGGTGTATGTGTCTGTTTGTGATGACTGAGACTGTTTATGATCTCAATTAATCTTATTGGAATTCCTCGCATCCGATCTCCTGGCGTCCTTCTCAACCATATTGGAGGAGAGGGTCCCCTCAGACCTTCTTCTCCAATGTGTTCTGAGAACGAGGTGAGGAGAGAGGATGAATTGAGAAGGAGCCTGACTCTCTCTTCTGCCTCCCTAGTGTGTTCCCGCGGGAGCTAAAGGAGGTGTTTGCAGCGTGGAAGCAGCAGTGTCTGGCCCGAGGGAACCAGGACATCAGCAAGCGCCTCATCAGCGCCTCCCTGTTCCTCCGCTTCCTCTGTCCCGCCATCATGTCACCCTCACTCTTCAGCCTCATGCAGGAGTACCCCGATGACCGCACCTCCCGTACCCTCACCCTCATCGCCAAGGTCATTCAGAACCTGGCTAACTTCGCCAAGTAGGTTTACCCCTTTACTGGTAGCGTGGTAGATAATATCACGGCTGCGTTTCAAATGGCACCCTAATTGTTGGTTGTGTGCACACCCTGGACTAAATTTCTCTGAACTCACTTGATCACCTTTACAAGTTTACAAGATGCCAATCCTAGCTGAGTAGAAAGCAGGTTAAACCAATGTTGGTTGTCTGTGTCCAAAGGTTTGGTAACAAAGAGGAGTACATGGCATTTATGAACGACTTCCTGGAGCACGAGTGGGCAGGTATGATGCGTTTCCTCACAGAGATCTCCAACCCAGAGACCATCTCCAATACACCGGGATTTGAAGGTTACATCGACCTTGGCCGGGAGCTGTCAGTCCTCCACTCGCTGCTGTGGGATGTGGTGTCCCAGTTGGACAAGGTAAGGAAGACCTTGGAGTGGGCAGCAGTGATACGTCTGTTAACAGATGTTCCAAAAACATAGTTTGGGTCGCAAATGGTGCCCTATTCCCTTTATAGTTCACTACTTTTGACCAGGGCCCATAGGGCTCTGGTCAAAAGTTGCGCACTATATAGGGAATAGGGTGCCATTTGGGACACAACTATATCTTCTGTAAGCCTGAAGCGTAACGCTTGTTGTACTTTAATGACATGCTCAGGCTCCTAATTGTGGCCCTTAGTAGGTATCTGTTAAGAGGCTCTGCTGCAAATGATGCTTTGCAGTGGTGCGTAGTGGGTTTGGGTCTGCACATCTGAATGTGTGCTATCATTACGACAAATATCTATTTTTTCCACTGTTTGCAGGCTTGGACAGGAGTTTTATAGCGGTTATTAATCTAAAATAACACATTTATGATTCTGAAAAATACTGATTGTAATGGTTTTGTGGATGAAATGTGGGTAAATGGGTCTTAATCATATAACTGAGCTATGATCTAATGATATCAAGTGGTGTTAGGACAAAAGTCTTCCTAATCAGCTTACACCACATTGACTTGACTTGCATATTAAGCCTCTCGTGGCTAAAGGGTTAGTGACTTTATGAGAAGAGGAAAACTAATTACACAGTCCAGGATGTTTTTACCCCTACCGCTTTTCACTATGACGTTCCCTAAAAATGAAAATGTCGAGTCTAGAAGTTTTAAAGCAGGGTAATGTCACCCACTCATTCTCTGCACCCGGCCACCACTCACCCTAACCTTAATCCTGCAAGGCTCCTACACTGTACCCTTTGTTTATTTATTTATTTATTTATTCATGCATGTTTGTTTATTTTACATGTTTACAGTGCCTTCAGAAAGTATTCACACTTTTTACACATTTTGTTGTTACAGCCTGAATTTAAAATGGATTAAATTGAGATTTTGTCACTGATCTACACACAATACCCCATAATGTCAAAGTGAAATTATGTTTTTAGAAAAGTTTACAAATTAATTTAAAAAAGCTGAAATGTCTTGAGTCAATAAGTATTCAACCACTTTGTTATGGTAAGCCTAAATAAGTTCAGGATAAAAAATGTGCTGAACGACTCACTTTGTGTGCAATAATAGTGTTTAACATGATTTTTACATGACTAACACATCTCTGTACCCCACACATACAAATGATCTGTAAGGTCCCTCAGTCGAGCAGTGAATTTCAAGCACAGATTCAACCACAAAGACCAATGGTTCTATTGGTAGATGGGAAAAAAAAAAAAAAAAAGACATTTAATATTCCTTTGAGCATGGTGCAGTTATTAATTACACTTTGGATGGTGTATCACTACAACCAGTCACTACAAAGATACAGGCACCCTTCCTTACTCAGTTGCCGGAGAGGATGGAAACTGCTCAGGGATTTCACCATGAGGCCAATGGTGATTTTAAAACAGTTAGAGTTTAATGGCTGTGATAGGAGATAACTAAGGATGGATCAACAACATTGTAGTTACTCCACAATACTAACATAAATGACAGAGTGAAAAGACGTAAAAAATATTCCAAAACATGCATACTGTTTGCAATAAGGCACTAAAGTATTACTGCAAATAATGTGGCAAATACATTTTATTTTTTTCCTGAATACAAAGCGTTATGTTTGGGGCAAATCCAACACAACACATCACTGAGTACCACTCTTCATATTTTCAAACATGGGGGTGGCTGCATAATGTTATGGGTATGCTTGTCATCAACAAGGACTAGGGAGTTTTTTAGGATATTAATAAACGGACTTGGTTCAGTCTGCTTTCCAACAGACACTGGGAGACAAATTCACCTTTCAGCAGGACAATGACCTAAAACACAAGGCCAAATATACACTGGTTGCTTACCAAGATGACGTTGAATGTTCCTGTGTGGCCTAGTTACAGTTTTGACTTAGAAAAAGTCAAGGGATGTGAATACTTTCTGAAGGCACTGTATGTTTATTCTTCTGTGAACCCTAGGTTTTTACAGTATTCATTTCAATACTCCCTACATCTTACTCTTACCTCACAACCTTCTTCATTAGTTTGCCCTTGATGCATGTTTGCTGTGTTTGGAATGGCTGTTATTTAGTGGCATGTGTTGTTTTTATATTTTTTTACCCCAAATGTATTCATTTCCTTATGTTTTCTCCTCAATTTTTTTCTGCCTCTACGCCCCCACCCCTCCCTCCTTTTCCACTCCACCCTTCTACTCCGCCCGACACACACTGTGTCTCCATGGTTACACTGTCCCGACAACACCAATGCATTATGGTGCTTCTCATTGCCAACCAACCAACCAACAAACCAACCCACCAATCCTCTGTCCTCCAAACCTTCTGCCATCCTCATTCCACAATGCTGGGTGACGTGGCCTGGTGCTGCTGCCCCTCGTCATGGTAACGTGCAACCCAGGGTGAAAATTCCTTCCTGCAGGCGACCGTAGCCAAGCTGGGCCCCCTGCCCCGCATCCTGGGGGACATAGCCCGCTCTCTGTCCAGCCCCACACCCATCCAGCAGCAGCTCCGACGCTTCCAGGACTACAGCTCCTCACACAACATCAGCGGCAGCGTCTCCTCAGGCCTGCAGAGGATATTCGAAGATCCGGCCGACAGGTAGGGCTCCAAAATGGTCACAACCGCTGCAACCATATTGCCAATCACCACCCAGCCATGCATGGTCTAATTCTGTGGTGTAGTTCTGGCTGTAGTTCTTTTCAAAGGCTGTTTCGTCTGGTGATTTTGTGCCAGTTAATCTAGAGATTCAGCTTTCATACATAAAGTTGAGAGATGTTGGTATATGTTCATGCAGTTTATATGGATAGGTTGTTTTATGGTGCATTGATTTGGGAGATGACTCACTGCTAGGATCTTTCTAAATAAAGCTGCAGCTAGAGACTTCCTATTTTTAGCGGCTGTAGAGATAATGAGGGAATCTGAGATGGACGTTTTTCCGGCTTTAAAGTGAATCAGAGTCAATATTGGTGCTAAAGGAACATTGAGTTAAACTTGAAAGGAAAAGAAGGTAGCCTACATTTCACCTTGTGTGTCCCAAATGGCACTCTATACCCTATGCCAGGGGTAGGCAACCCTGTTCATGGAGTGCTGCAGGTAGTGCAGGGTTTTGTTCCAACTAGGCACCAAACTGAGCTACTTAGTTATTTGATCAGTTCAGTGATTGCCTAAATTCAACACACCTGGTCTTCCAGGTAGCTTAAATTAAAAACATGAAGTGCTGCTGCACTCCAGGACCAGGGTTGCCTACCCCTGCCCTAGGCATATATAGTGCACTCATTTTGACTAGGCCCCTATGGGCCCTGTTTAAAGTAGTTAACTACATAGGGAATAGGATGCCATTTGGGACTGGTCCTAGCTTTGGTTTCAGAACTCTGTTAATGTGTTGTGTGTTTACTGTCCATGTCTTGCAGTGAGGTTCGCAGCATCAAGTCCCCAGTCCAGGAGCATGTTATAGACGGCCTTCACCGGGGGAAGAACCCTCTCCTGGGCCAGCAGTCATCCGCCCACAGCATAAGCTTCTCGGACAAGGAGGAGAGAGAGAACCTTCTGCCCAACGGACGCAGCATCTCCCTGGTGGACCTCCAGGACTCTCACATGGTCCAGAGTGGCCAGGGACCCCTCCCTCTCCACGAGGCTCCACCCAGGCTGAGCAGGGTGGGCTCCCAGGCCTCTATCGGACACCCCCACCAGGCTACCACCCCACAGTCACACCAAGTCCTACATCAAAAGCCCTCGTTACGGGACAACCTCCCCCAGAGCGCGCCCCAGGTGCGTCGGCCCCTGCACCCCTCCCTCAGCCAGCAGAGGAGCCTCCAGCCCCTCTCTTTCCAAAATCCTGTCTATCACCTCAGCAACCTGACACAACAACCACAACAACAACACACAGCAGTACACTCCACAACACACTCGGTCCACTCCCACTCAGTGCACTCCCTTCAGCCGGGCTCCAGCTCAGAGAACCTGAGCACCGATAGCTCCCGCAGCCACAGCAACTCGGAGGTTGAGTTCGGAGGCGGGAACCAGGGGGGGAAGGGGGGCAGGGTACCATCCAATAGCAGCCTGGAGGAGTTCAGCCAGCGGAGCACGCAGAGCGAGGACTGCTCCACGCCTTGCCGCCACACCCTGCCGGACAACCAGGGAGGGGCCCACGCTGTGGCAGTGCCCAGGCAGAACAGCACGGGCACAGCCCACATCGTGAGGGTGGAGCAGCAGAGCCGCAGCGGGGGGAGTGCAGGGGCCCGGACGCCCCGCTCCCTGCCCCACAGCGCCTCTCTACGCAGCAGCAGCTCCATCAACACGGAGCCCATGCCTATCCCCATCCAGGGCCAGCCAGGCGCAGGCACTGGAAGCCACTCACGGCAGCAGTCCACCTGCTCCATGGAGAGCCCTGTGCCCCCCGTCAGGAGCGTGGCCAAGCAGCGGACACCACAGCAGGTACTGGTCTGGCATACAGAACTACACTTAGATACACAAGCTCAGCTCCGACACCCTGATATATTATGTTATTATTATCAAGGACAAATGTCTCCTAAATAAAGTGTGGCCAGTCATATTGGCCACTCAGGGTAGATTTGATTGACATATCGGTATCTGTGGTGATGGTGGTGGTGCAGGTGGCGTCTCCAGTAGAGCCAGTCACCATGTCACCGGTAGAGAGGACAGCAGCGTGGGTGCTGAATAACGGCCAGTACGAAGACGAGGAGGAGGAGGCGGCCCCAGCAGATCAGAGCAGCCAGGACAGCAGGAACGCCGAGAAGGTAAAGAGACAGCCAGAGTCACAGCCAATGATGGCCAAAACATGGCCAAGTTATAAAGGTATATTTGCTAGTGCTGGCTGTCTTCTTCATTACCAAGTCCAACACATGAGCCTGCTAAGCCAGTGTAGGCAGACAGAGGTTGGCTTTGTCTTAGGCATGACTAACACGATCATCCCCTCCAACTCTCTCGCTCTCTCTTTCCCTCCATGTCTCTTTCTGTCTCTCTCACCTCTCTCCCTCCTGAATGAACAGGAGATCTCCAAGCTGAAGGAGCGCCTGCGGGTGTCTAGTCTGTGTCTGGAGGAGTACGAGAGACGTCTGCTGGCCCAGGAGCAGCAGATGCAGAAACTGCTGATGGAGTACAAGGCCCGCCTGGAGGACAGCGAGGAGAGGCTGCGGCGGCAGCAGGAGGAGAAGGACAACCAGATGAAGAGCATCATCTGCAGGTAGGCAATACTAGGCATGATTTTGCTTACAACAAGGAGCCTGTGCTCCAGTCATAATTCCTGTGAATGAATGATTGATTGAATGAACGAACTAACAAAATAATTAATACATTTTCAAAATCACAGATTGACTGCTTAATGGCATGCTTCTAGTGTGTTGTATTGTTGTGTCCCAAATCGCACCCTATTCCCTATATAGTGCACTACTTTTGACTAGTGTCCACAGGGCTCTGATCAAAGATAGGTTGCATCTCAAATGGCATGCTATGTCCTCCCCTTATGGTGTGTATTCGTCTGAGATGGCTATGCTCTGTCACTCACAGGTTAATGGCTGTAGAGGAGGAGCTGAAGAGAGACCATGCAGAGATGCAGGCTGTCATAGACGCCAAGCAGAAGATCATTGATGCACAGGTATAGTAACAGAACACACTGTACATATTTTGTCTGTACTCTATGTAGGGCTAAGGGTTTGAATAATACAATGCTTAGATCCATTCAGTTCCATCTCCTTACGAATAATATTATATTCTCCATGGAAACATTCATTCAGTCTTAAGGGACATCCACACCAAGAATGCTAACTATAACGATAAAAAAATCAAAATCGCTTTAATTCAAGTGGACAGGAGTGTTCACACTACAACGATACAACCTACTATCATACCCTGCTCAAAGGCACTTAAATATTTTGTCTCGCCCATTCACCCTCTGAATGGCACCTATGCACAAGCCATGTGTCAATTGTCTCAAGGCTTAAAAATCCTTCTTTAACCTGTCTCCTCCCCATCTACACTGATTGAAGTGGATTTAACAAGTGACATCAATAAGGGATCATAGCTTTCACCTGGAGTGACCTGATCAGTCTGTCATGGCAGGATGTTTTGTACACTCAGTGTATATACCAAGGCAGGACATAGAAACCCAATAATCTATTGATTAAACTAAATATTGAACAACAATTAGTATTTTGCATGCCGTGGCCTAATGGCAATAGTTCCAAATGATACAGCAAATAAAGGGCGTTATTGTCACCATAAAAGATGAATGGAGGCATTTTCCAGGTGGAGTTTTAATGCTCGTTCACGCACGCAGTTTTCCGACAGGTCTGATTTATAACGGGAAACATGCATATGGCATGCGCCAAGTTTATACATTTCTATATTTTTGTACGTGTGCATACTTTTCAGAAATGTACGCAACGGTTAGGGGAGCTTTGCGTGCCCGGGGACTGCAGAGCGCAGCCTGGAGGAACGCACAGATCTGCCATTTCATTGCACTTTGACTGGTTAATATTTATAGCCCTACTATTTAGCTAATGAATTGCCTAAGATCTAGCTAATATTTTGCTTCTTACTTTGGCTACACAACTCTAGCCTCTCTCTCTCCCAGCTGTTCCCGTGCACAATAGGCCATAGGCTATAGGATACACAAGCCTCTCCGCTATTCCTCTTCTCCTGAAATCCCAGGAAAGCTATAGGACGTTTATTTTTTGCCTTATTTAATTCAACGCCTAATAGCCTTTTCTTGAAGAGAAGCAGGCTTGCTCTTCCTAATTGCCGAATGTAAAATAGGCCTAGGACAAATGAACTGTCTGGGAAAGTTGAGAAGAGAGAGTGCGTGGGTGTGACCACTTTGGCCAGTGGTGATAACATTGTTGCACTGATGCATTGCAAATGGTTGAGAGATGAGCACAGTGAAAAAGAAGATCCAAAGGAATTGACAACCATTAGAAAAATGGAAATCACTTGCAAACCATTTCAGCAACGAGGCAAGGAATGACATGATGTAAAAGATGCACAGGCTAAATAGCGTTTGCTGTTGAATTGCTACATTTAAATGCGCGTACCGATAGGACGCATGGGAAGAGTAGCTCCGTTTTGTTCCGACAAGACTGTGGTTATATGAAGAAACCAGACAATATAGTTTAAATTAAGCATTTAAAATCGATAGATCAATATATCACCAAGTAACCGGGAGAGAGTGAGCGGTCAGTTATATACAACAGTGAACCAATCTGTGAATAAAGCGACGCTGAGACTCGAACCCAACAAGCCATGGCTTCTCTTAGATGAAAAGACAAAGAACAACTTGGAGACGCAAATGAGAGCAGCAAACAACTGAAGGATATCCAGGAAAACATAGTTCAAATGCTCTCAATGCTCACCAAAACAAATTAACTGTTAGAATCTGTTGTTTAAAAAAGTTGATTTATCGACCAGCTTATCGTAAATTGAGACAATATTCCTTCCCCCTCCCCCAATACAATTTAGACTGTTGTCCCCAAGTAGATGTTCTTCTCTAGGAAGTAACAATAGAATTAGCTGATGCCAATGAGATACATCGACACTGAAAGGACAATATAAAAGAGGATATATAGCATGTAAGTCAATAATGGTTCTATGGATGTGAGTGGGTGTGAGGGGGAGTATGTGTGGGTATGTGTCTGCATATGAATGGGAGAGTGAGGGATGGAGGAATGTGGATATGTGTGGGAGGGCGGGAGAAAGTGAGAAAGCTGGAGGCGTGGGGTGTATGTGGTGTATGTATAGAGGGGTGTAGATGTGTATGAGAAGAAGGTAGGGGTAAAAAGACTGAGGCTGGGCCTGGGTGGGTAAAGGAGGGAAGGTAGTGATAATCTTGGCTTGGAGGGGAGAACTGGGAGGGGTGGTGGAGAGGGATGGATTTGGTTTGGGAGAGAGAGAAGGAAGGATGTATGTACAATGTATGCATCCACAGTCTTTAGTACATTAGGAGAGGAGTCTGAGCTAAAAAGCCCTAAAAAGGCATGGCGCCTCAAGTACAGATGTACAGTGCATTCGGAAAGTATTGTGCCCCCTTGACTTTCTCCACATTTTGTTACCTTACAGCCTTATTCTAAAATGGATTAAAACGTTTTTTTCCCTCATCAATCTACACACAATACCCCATAATGACAAAGCAAAAACAGGTTATTGTAATGTGTTGTTTTATTACCCCTTTTTCCTCCCCAATTTCGTGGTATCTAATTGGTAGTTACAGTCTTGTCCCATCGCTGCAACTCCCGTACGGACTCGGGAGAGCCAGCCGCACCAATGTGTCGGAGGAAACACTGTACACCTGGCGACCATGTCAGCGTGCATTGCGCCCGGCCCGCAACAGGAGTCGCTAGTGCGCGATGGGACAAGAACATCCCTGCCGGTTCTCCCCCGATTGCTCAGTTTGGCCGGCGGCCAGCTCTAGGAAGAGTCTTGGTGGTTCCAAACGTCTTCCATTTAAGAATGATGGCGGCCACTGTGTTCTTGGGGACCTTCAATGCTGCAGACATTTTTTGGTACCCTTCCCTAGATCTGTGCCTCAACACAATCCTGTCTCGGAACTCTACGGACAATTCCTTCGACCTCATGGCTTGGTTTTTGCTCTGGCATGCACTGTCAACTGTGGGATCTTATATAGACAGGTGTGTGCCTTTCCAAATCATGTCCAATCAATTTAATTTACCACAGGTGGACTCCAATCAAGTTGTAGAAACATCTCAAGGATGATCAATGGAAACAGGATGCACCGGAGCTCAATTTCGAGTCTCATAGCAAAGGGTCTGAATACTAATGTAAATAAGGTAAACCTGTTTTCGCTTTGTTATTATGAGGTATTGTGTGTAGATTTAAAAAAAATCAATTTTAGAATAAGGCTGTAACTTAACAAAGTGGAAAAAGTGAAGGGGTCTGAGTACTTTCCGAATATGCACTGTACTTTGTTTTATTTTTATTGATTTTGTTAAATGTCTGCTCAGCCCACATGCCCACACACTCTATACACGTAATGTATACAATAACTATTTATTTATACTATAATCCTCCCATTATATGGAATGCCCACCGCCCTCATGTCATTTCTGTTCAAATGTTTTACTTGGTTCTTCAATGACAGACGGAACAGATGAGGTTAGGTTTGATTCTATACAAGTAAAGACCAACAAAATCCAACTTATCACATGAAATGTCCACGGGTCCCTGATGCGGGGGGAAAAAACATATGAGTGTCAGCAGAGTTACATAATAAATAAATAAATTGTTTTAAGAGGAGCTTGGTTGGAGAGGCCTACGCTGCCACCTACTGTAGTAACAGCAGAAGTGTAGGCATACTGATAAATAAGAATACACCATTTCCCCTTATATCCCAGCATATGGACCAAGAAGGCCGTTTTCTAATGTTGAATTGTACCTTGAATTGAGATTACTATTCCCAACTACAAAAGACTATACTTTTTTTCTCAAAGTAATTAATGTTATTCAAGAACTGGCTACATTTTTATTTCCAAAGTGTACTCAATTATTTACTGGATTCAAAAATTAATGATATAGTGATATCGGATCATTCTCCGGTATCATGCTTAATTACATCAATAGAAAATACATTTAGCGACAGAATTTGGAGAATGAACAGAGCGGATCTACTGGACCCACATTTTATTAAATATGTAAACTAAAAATAAATCACAATCTTAGAAAAAGCCCATAAAAAATCTTTACAAGTTAAAGAGGAAATAAAATGTCTGAACTTAAGCAGAAATACAATATTTTACTTCTGAAGAGAGCCAACAACTACAGTGGGGAAAAAAAGTATTTAGTCAGCCACCAATTGTGCAAGTTCTCCCACTTAAAAAGATGAGAGAGGCCTGTAATTTTCATAATAGGTACACATCAAATATGACAGACAAAATGGGAATAAAAATCCAGAAAATCACATTGTAGGATTTTTAATGAATTTATTTGCAAATTATGGTGGAAAATAAGTATTTGGTCACCTACAAACAAGCAAGATTTCTGGCTCTCACAGACCTGTAACTTCTTCTTTAAGAGGCTCCTCTGTCCTCCACTCGTTACCTGTATTAATGGCACCTGTTTGAACTTGTTATCAGTATAAAAGACACCTGTCCACAACCTCAAACAGTCACACTCCAAACTCCACTATGGCCAAGACCAAAGAGCTGTCAAAGGACACCAGAAACAAAATTGTAGACCTGCACCAGGCTGGGAAGACTGAATCTGCAATAGGTAAGCAGCTTGGTTTGAAGAAATCAACTGTGGGAGCAATTATTAGGAAATGGAAGAAATACAAGACCACTGATAATCTCCCTCGATCTGGGGCTCCACGCAAGATCTCACCCCGTGGGGTCAAAATGATCACAAGAACGGTGAGCAAAAATCCCAGAACCACACGGGGGGACCTAGTGAATGACCTGCAGAGAGCTGGGACCAAAGTAACAAAGCCTACCATCAGTAACACACTACGCCGCCAGGGACTCAAATCCTGCAGTGCCAGATGTGTCCCCCTGCTTAAGCCAGTACATGTCCAGGCCCGTCTGAAGTTTGCTAGAGTGCATTTGGATTATCCAGAAGAGGATTGGGAGAATGTCATATGGTCAGATGAAACCAAAATAGAACTTTTTGGTAAAAACTCAACTCGTCGTGTTTGGAGGACAAAGAATGATGAGTTGCATCCAAAGAACACCATACCTACTGTGAAGCATGGGGGTGGAAACATCATGCTTTGGGGCTGTTTTTCTGCAAAGGGACCAGGACGACTGATCCCTGTAAAGGAAAGAATGAATGGGGCCATGTATCGTGAGATTTTGAGTGAAAACCTCCTTCCATCAGCAAGGGCATTGAAGATGAAACGTGGCTGGGTCTTTCAGCATGTCAATGATCCCAAACACACCGCCCAGGCAACGAAGGAGTGGCTTCGTAAGAAGCATTTCAAGGTCCTGGAGTGGCCTAGCCAGTCTCAAGATCTCAACCCCATAGAAAATCTTTGGAGGGAGTTGAAAGTCTGTGTTGCCCAGCGACAGCCCCAAAACATCACTGCTCTAGAGGAGATCTGCATGGAGGAATGGGCCAAAATACCAGCAACAGTGTGTGAAAACCTTGTGAAGACTTACAGAAAACGTTTGACCTGTGTCATTGCCAACAAAGGGTATATAACAAAGTATTGAGAAACTTATGTTATTGACCAAATACTTATTTTCCACCATAATTTGCAAATAAATTCATTAAAAATCCTACAATGTGATTTTCTGAAATGTTTTCCCCATTTTGTCTGTCATAGTTGACGTGTACCTATGATGAAAATTACAGGCCTCTCTCATCTTTTTAAGTGGGAGAACTTGCACAATTGGTGGCTGACTAAATACTTTTTTTCCCCACTGTATAGGTTAAACTCATGGGAAAAAATGTATGCACTCACTTAACTGTAAGTCGCTCTGGATAAGAGTGTCTGCTAAATGACTAAAATGTAAAATGTAAAATAAAGCATACTACTTAATTGCAAGTAAACCTGGTAAATAGCTCTCACAAACGAATACATGCTAAACCAGTTATAATTTTTTAAGATAAAGATACAAAGGCGATAATTAGAAACAACAATGCAATTAATTACACATTTTGTAAGTTTCTAGGAAGATTTATACAAATCAGAATTAAACAGTGGGATGGATCCTATAGCCTTCTTAGACTCAACAACTCTGAAGCAACTATCAGTGGACAAAAAAATAATCATTAAAAACAGAGATCGCCCAAGAATAAATATTAGATACTGTTAAAACATTCGCACTGAGAAAAGCACCAGAAATGGATGGCTTTCCCATAGAATTCTATTCAACATTTTGGGACAAAAAACAAGATATAGATTAATCAATAATGGCTGTTGATGCCGAAAAGGCTTTCAATCGTCTTGAATGGTCTTTTCTATTCAAAACTTTCCAGCTGAAATAATAAATGTAATACAAAAAATTTATAAATATCCTAAAGCAAAAATATACATGAATAATACATTATCTGATGAAATTGCTTTAGAAGGGGGCACAAGACAGGGATGTCCTCTCTCCTCTCCTGTTTGCACTGGCAATTGAACCGCTTGCAGAAAGAATTAGACAGGACTCAAATGTAACAGGTATTGGTAAACACTAATATAAAGTAAACTTTTTTGCAGAAAATCTCCCGATAATCCTGACCAATATTGAAAACTCATTGCCCCCTTTGCTAAAAATATTTTCAAAAATCTCAGGTTATAAAATTAACATGGGGGGGGGGGGGGGGGATGACAAAATTGCAATAGGAAAAATAATAACTCATGATTTACAGCAATCCTTTAAGTGGACCACAACAAATATTAAATAAAGGTGGATACCAGGTCAGTTGTACAACTGAATGCATTCAACTGAAATGTGTCTTCCGCATTTAACCCAACCCCTCTGAATCAGAGAGGTGCGGAGGGCTGCCTTAATCGACATCCACGTCTTCGGCGCCCGGGGAACAGTGGGTTAACTTCCTTGCTCAGGGGCAGAACAACATATTTTTTGGGGTTACTGGCCCAACGCTCTTATCCGCATGGCTATAGGATGCTTAATAAGTGACAACAAATATATAAAGATAACTTTATTCCATTACTCAACAATATGAAAGCAGATTTAATTAAATGGAATAATCTTCCCATAAATCTTATAGGTAGAATAAACCTCTTTAAAATGGCATGGATGCCAAAGTTTTGTATCTATTTTCGGTTATACCAATTACCCCACCGAAGGCATTCTTTAAAAAAGTATACTCTATCATAAGACTTTATATGGAAAAATAAAATGCATAGAATAAAAAGGAACATTTTACATCTTCCTAAGTCTGAGGGTGGTTTTAACCTTCCAGACTTGGAATTGTATCAACTCGCTACCCAAGGCTTTTACTTGCGACCATATAGTTGAATGCACTTAAGAGGAACAATAGGTACATATTGAAGATGTGCATGCTCATCCCCCGAATCTTTTTACATGTCTATTTTCAAAGGATAAAGCTAAGAACATTAACAACTTCATAGTTAAGAACACTATAGCGATATGGAAGAAAATTGTACGTATTTTACAAGAACCAATATCACTCCCTAGAAACACAACCTTATGGAATAATCCTTGGATAGCTTTTCAGAATTAATCGATACATTTGCCCACATGGAAAACTAAAGGCATAGCTCAGTTGGTAGAGCATGGCGTTTGCAACGCCAGCGTTGTGGGTTCGATTCTCACGGGGGACCAGTATAAAAATAAAAGAAATGTATGCACTCACTAACTGTAAGTCGCTCTGGATAAGAGCGTCTGCTAAATGACAAAAAATATATATATATATATATATATATATATATATATATATATATATATATATATATATATATATATATATCCAACTGACAATCTCTTAGAAAAAATATAAATTATTGGAAACAAGATTTCAAATGAACTGATGTTGGCATAAGATGGAGGGAAAGTTGGAGCATAACTACCGAAATTACAGTTAACGAAAATGTATGCTTAATCCAGTATAAACTAATTTATAGAATTTATTATACAAGGAACAAAATGCACAAATTGTACAGCACAACAGCAGAGTCATGTCTCAAGTGTTAAACTAATAATGACTCAATAATCCATGCTTTTTGGGAATGCTGTAAAGTTCTGAAGTTGTGGGCGGAGCTGGACAGTTGGCTGTCAGAAGTATTACAAAATAAACTTATATTACAATCTATCTGCATATTTTAAGACATGACATATGGGGGTATAATGAGATACTTAATGGTCTGGACAATTCTTTTCTCATCACTCATTTGGAAAAAATCTCTACTAAAAACTTGGAAGTCAATCAAGCCGCCATCATAGACACAATGGAAATATCAAATTATTGAAATATTGAAATAGCATGGGCAACCGAGAAAAACATATTGGTACAACTTAAGACCAAGTGGCAAACAATAATGCAGGCACTAGGGATGGGGGTGTGAGCATGCGGGTCTGGGCAGATGAGAAGTAGTCATTGTTTGTACAGTACCAGTCAAAAGTTTGGATACACCTACTCATTCCAGGGTTTTTCTTTATTTGTACTATTTTCTACATTGTAGAATAATAGTGAAGACATCAAAACAATGAAATAACACATATGGAATCATGTAGTAACCAAAAAAGTGTTAAACAAATCAAAATATATTTTATATTTGAGATTCTTCAAAGTAGCCACCTTTTGCCTTGATGACTGCTTTCCAGCTTCATGAAGTAGTCACCTGGAATGCATTTCAATTAACAGGTGTGCCTTGTTAAAAGTTAATTTGTGGAATTTCTTTCCTCCTTAATACGTTTGAGGCAATCAGTTGTGTTGTGACAAGGTAGTATACAGAAGATAACCCTATTTGGTAAAAGACCAAGTCCATATTATGGCAAGAACAGCTCAAATAAGCAAAGAGAAACGACAGTCCATCATTACTTTAAGACATGAAGGTCAGTCAATACGGAACATTTCAAGAACTTTTAAAGTTTCTTCAAGTGCAGTCGCAAAAACCATCAAGCGCTATGATGGAACTGGCTCTCATGAGGACCGCCACAGGAAAGGCAGGCCCAGAGATACCTCTGCTGCAGAGGATACGTTCATTAGAGTTACCAGCCTCAGAAATTGCAGCCCAAATAAATGCTTCACAGAGTTCAAGTAACAGACACATTTCAACATCAACTGTTCAGAGGAGACTGCGTGAATCAGGCCTTCATGGTCGAATTGCTGAAAAGAAACCACTACTAAAGGACAGTTGGAAGAAGAGTTGCTTGGGCCAAGAAACACGAGCAATGGACATTAGACTGGTGGAAATATGTCCTTTGGTCTGATAAGTCCAAATGTGAGATTTTTGGTTCCAACCGCCGTGTCTTTGTGAGACGCAGAGTAGGTGAACGGATGATCTCCGCATGTTTGGTTCCCACCGTGAAGCATGGAGGAGGAGGTGTTATGGTGCGGAGGTGCTTAGCTGGTGACACTGTCTGTGATTTATTTAGAATTCAAGACACACTTAACCAGCATGGCTACCACAGCATTCTACAGCCATACGCCATCCCATGTGGTTTGGGCTTAGTGGGACTATCATTTGTTTTTCAATAGGACAATGACACAACATACCTCCAGGCTGTGTAAGGGCTATTTTACCAAGAAGGAGAGTGATGGAGTGCTGCATCAGATGACCTGGCCTCCACAATCCCCCGACCTCAACTCAATTGAGATGGTTTGGGATGAGTCGGACCGCAGAGTGACTGAAAAGCAGCCAACAAGTGCTCAGCATATGTGGAAACTCCTTCAAGACTGTTGGAAAAGCATTCCATGTGAAGCTGGTTGAGAGAATGCCAAGAGTGTGCAAAGCTGTCATCAAGGCAAAGGGTAGCTTTTTGAAGATTCTCAAATATAAAATATACTTTGATTTGTTTAACAGTTTTTTGTTTACTACATGATATTGTGTTATTTCATAGTTTTGATGTCTTCACTATTATTCTACAATGTAGAAAATCGTAAAAAGAAAGAAAAACCCTTGAATGAGTAGGTGTGTCCAAACGTTTGACTGGTAGTGTACATTGAAGTATTATTTGCAGTTGTCACTATGACAATGAACACACCCTGAAGCACTGATCAATGGTCTGTGTTACCACCTTATTAATAGGCCTTACAGCGTGCAGTAGGATGTGTTGATCAGTTGATTGACAGGTGTAGGCTACTGCAGAACGATAAACAATAAACTTTCCTTTAGTGTGGATGCTCGCCAATGTTTTATAGTTATGTATAATTTATCGTTATAGTTATCACCCTTAGTGTGGATGGCCTTTTACATTTGGGGTTGATTACCTTGTCATATCCTTGACAGCTTTTCAGAGCAATCTTGAATGACATTCACATTCTCACCAGAGGCATCTTTGCTCTCGCTTTTTGTGCTTTTAAAAGGCCTGTCATCTCAACTCGTTGCCTCAGAAGACTTTACGTCAACAGATTTTCAATACCAAGCAGGGAAAGAGGATTTATATTTAATTGGAACTATTATTTCACTATCAAAATAAATATTTTAAATGCTTTGACTTCTTGACATTGCTTTTTTCTTTACAATGTTATCTTTTGGTCAGGGGAGATCTAATTTCCACTAACTTTCAAAGTATAGACTTGACATGAAGTAAGGACTATTCACATGGAATCCAACCCCTTTCAATCTTTGGAAGGGGATGAAGTTATTTTGCTCTGCATTGGAGCAGAGAACCTGTTGACTTTATCACTATCACTATGTTCCACTGAGTTCCAGGTCAATAAAGCAACAGAGGTAATCCAAGCAGGCAAGTAAACCAGTCAGTCCTCTGGTTTTGGGAAATGCTGGCAACCCTTGAATGAGAGCAACCACACTTGACACCCATTCCTGCCTCCCTGCCAAAAAAGTCCTTATTCCTGTGCAGACTAGAGGTCGTTGTTGTTGTTTGGTATTGCTTTTGAAATTAGATTTTTGATTTCCCAATCAGTCAGAATATAAATATAGAACATAATCTAATACATGTTCATTACTTTTGTAGGTATACTACGCCCCTATTGCTACAATTCATGTTTCTCCATATCTGATGTCAATCTAATCTCAGACAGTGGCTCTCATAGTTAAAAATAAACAATATTATAGTATGAGAAAGTCTGTCTTGAATTAGGGCTGGTATTTATGAAGCAGTTACATTCAGATGTGTTCACTATTTCTGTCTCTACAGGACTGTGTGTTGTGAGTTCGCTCTTAGCAGATGATGTATCTGTTATCCCCAGCTTTGGCTGCTTTTCACCCTGCCCTCTTAATTTAGCTACCATCACTCCCAAAACCCTTCTCCCCTTCCCTCCTCTCCCCCAGTTCTGCAGGAACAGTGCCAGGACCTGGCTAGATGAGGTTGCCCATGGCTAGAGACAAAAAATTATTATGTTGCTGATTACAAGGAGGGCAAACCGAGTCCGTTTTCCTACTTCTATGAGGGGGAACATTCAAGGATATCATACAGGGCAGTTCAGTCCAAGGGTTATGGATATAACTGGGATTTCAGTTGTTATTTTTTTTTGAAGATAGCTCAATACAAATAATCCTCATGTGTTTACACAATATACATTGGCAGTAGTTTTCTGTTAAAAGCCATGCCACTGTTGACATGTAGGCTCTGTGAATGGTATACGAATAGATATCTAAAATTGTTCTTTTTTTTAAACAAACATGACGCAATGCTTGGATATGAGTTTTTAGTTTTATCTATAATTTTGGCTGCTAAACAAAAAATGGGTATATTTCAGACTTGAATTTCACCATCTACAGAGTAGTAGTCATCCTTTAGCTTACCCTGCTCATCTATTCTCCACTGTAAAGTGAATGCTTTCCTCACTCACTCCCTCCCTCTTCCCATCCTCTCTTTTTCTCCAGGAGAAGAGGATAAGCTCTCTGGATGCAGCCAACTCTCGGCTGATGAGTGCCCTGACACAGGTGAAGGAGCGCTATAGCATGCAGAACCTGCGCAACGGCCTCTCGCCAACCAACCCCACAAAACTGTCGATCACTGAGAACGGAGAGTTTAAAAACAGCAGCTGCTGATTGTTAGTCGAACAGCGTGAGATGGTGTGATGATGGTCACACTTTCTCCATGCACACAGACCAAGGACCTGTGTCTCTCTTGACTGTACGTACTTTACATCTACATGGAATGTCTAGATATTAATGTATATAACTTATATCTTGTATTGGTTGTGTACAGAGATGCTACTGGAAAGACGGGTCATTTGAAGATGAAAACGGGGATCAACTGTTGTCATTAAATAGTGATTTGGTGTTTTATAAATGACATTATTATTCCCATATGCAGACATATTTTAAGTATTCTCTAATTAAGAGATGATATATTGAGGAGATGTACATATCATAAAGTGGGTTTGTTTAAATAAATAGCTAAAAGCACAGAGTGAGCAATTATAGCTCTAAAAACATACTGAAGTCATGATAGGAGTGGAAGGGCAAAATAAACCAAAACCGTTTTATGCACACTGTTATTCTAACCCTACTTTTTTATATTTTTTAACTTCTGTTTTTGTTGTCTTAAACTAGGGGCTGAATTGGTTTTGATTAGCTGATTTTGAGTACAGTTGAAGTCGGAGGTTTACATACACCTTAGCCAAATACATTTAAACTCAGTTTTTCACAATTCCTGACATTTAATCCACACGCTTTTTCAATTCTGCCCACATTTTCTATAGGATTGAGGTCAGGGCTTTGTGATGGCCACTCCAATACCTTGACTTTGTTGTCCTTAAGCCATTTTGCCACAACTTTGGAAGTATGCTTGGGGTCATTGTCCATTTGGAAGACCCATTTGCGACCAAGTTTTAACTTCCTGACTGATGTCTTGAGATGTTGCTTCAATATATCCACATAATTTTCCTTCCTCATGATGCCATCTATTTTGTGAAGTGCACCAGTCCCTCCTGCAGCAAAGCACCCCCACAGCATGATGCTGCCACCCCCGTGCTTCACGGTTGGGATGGTGTTCTTCGGCTTGCAAGCACCCCCTTTTTCCTCCAAACATAACAATGGTCATTATGGCCAAACAGTTCTATTTTTGTTTCATCAGACCAGAGGACATTTCTCCAAAAAGTACGATCTTTGTCCCCATGTGCAGTTGCAAACCGTAGTCTGGCTTTTTTATGGCGGTTTTGGAGCAGTGGCTTCTTCCTTGCTGAGCGGCCTTTCAGGTTATGTTGATATAGGACCCGTTTTACTGTGGATATAGATACTTTTGAACCTGTTTCCTCCAGCATCTTCACAAGGTCCTTTGCTGTTGTTCTGGGATTGATTTGCACTTTTCGAACCAAAGTACGTTCATCTCTAAGAGACAGAATGCGTCTCCATCCTGAGCGGTATGATGGCTGCGTGGTCCCATGGTGTTTACACTTGCGTACTATTGTTTGTACAGATGAACGTGGTACCTTCAGGCATTTGGAAATTGCTCCCAAGGATTAACCAGACTTGTGGAGGTCTACAATTGTTTTCTGAGGTCTTGGCTGATTTCTTTTGATTTTCCCATGATGTCAAGCAAAGAGGCACTGCGTTTGAAGGCCTTGAAATACATCCACAGGTACACCTCCAATTGACTCAAATTATGTAAATTAGCCTATCAGAAGCTTCTAAAGCCATGACATCATTTTCTGGAATTTTCCAAGCTGTTTAAAGGCACAGTCAATTTAGTGTATGTCAACTTCTGACCCACTGGAATTGTGATATAAGTTAAATAATCGGTCTGTAAACAATTGTTGGAAAAATTACCTGTGTCATGCACAAAGTAGATGTCCTAACCGACTTGCCAAAACTATAGTTTGTTAACAAGACATTTGTGGAGTGGTTGAAAAACGAGTTTTAATGACTCCAACCTAAGTGAATGTAAACTTCCGACTTCAACTGTATATTGGGACTGCTGCTTGCCCATTGTTAGCTGAAACCATAGGTCTTTGAGTTCAGGTTCTTAAGGCCTACTGGATCTTCATAAATTAGTTGTCTCGATCCACAACCTTGCCACAGAATAGCAAATTGTATTTATTTCTGTACCGCTTACTGTCAAACCTTCAAGATCCCAAAAGAAGACCCTCCTGACTTTGTACAATTTAATGTCAATAACTACTGTTTAAAAGAGTCTGTTGTCCCCCTCCCCTTGAATGAACTGGTTTATGTCAATGATTGCATATCTGTCCGTTGTTGAATGTTGTGGAGAATAAAAGCTGCCTATAATTTTGTGGATGTTTTGCGTTTATATGAATGGTATATGGTTTGTAATTCAACTACAGTGCTAAAGCACACACATTTTTGTGGAGTTACATAATTATCCCCCTTATAAAGCTTATTTGGTTGTTGTTGTTACTTTGGAAGATGTGACTTAATTAGTGAACCACAGTTAGTAGAACGGGGCATGTGAAACATACTTGTAAGCTTGATGAGAGGGCCTCAATGACAGATGGAAAGTGGCAGGTTTACGCCTAGTCTCACTAGGCAGACGGGTTGCCTCCCACATTAACAATGTTCCAGCATAAACTGTGTGCAGTTGTACGGTTGCCATAGGTCTGGGATTTCCATAGACTAGAGCAGTGGCTCCCAACCTTTTTCGGTTAGTGTACCACCAACTGAATTGTGCTATGCCCGGAGTACCCCTTAAGTACCACCTTGTGTGTATTTTAACAGTAAGTCTATGGTCTCATGAGTCTTCTCAAGTACCTCCTGTGGATAGGCCAAGTACCCCCAGGGGTCCTAGTACCCCTGGTTGGATCTTTACATGACACCCAGAACCTAGACATCGGCCTACCGCCAGGGGGCGCTCGCTGTCTCCAATGCGTCCTAGCCACGCATGCGCCCAGAGTCCAGGCCTAACCGTCTCGTGCCCCAGTGCCATCATGTCTGCGGTCTGAATGGTTCGTATTTGCTAGCCGGCTCGTTTGAAAAAGTATCTGGTGGAACTCGAGTGGGTAAGATAAGCGAAGTGCAAATACAATGTGTACTAAATTGTGTGAAGTGTATTTAGCTAGCTGGCCATGTCCGTAATTTCATTGCAACATTGGCTGGTACAGAACTGAAGATTGAGCTTCTAAACGAGCTAACGTTTGCTTTCTAGCTAGCTACCTGAATTAGCTAGTTAGCTAGCAGCTTGTCTATCTTTCAGCTAACATAAGCCTAGCCGGCTAGCTAGATAATTTTATTTGTCTGACCTAGCTAGCTAACTGCATGCATTTTAGGTAACATTTACGGGCAGTTAGGACTTGTAAATCCCTCTAAAATATTGCATTTAGCCAGCGTCCACGCTCATGTAGCTTTAGCTTGCCAATAGCAGATCACGGCGTTAACGTTAGCTAGCTAAGAAAAATAAATAAATAAAAAAAACTACCTAGTTAACTAAGCTAGCATCCTGAGCTTGGTTTTTCTGGTGTTTAAACCAACAAAGTTATTGAATCCTAGATACCAGTCAGTTGCTCTGGAAAAATTATATGAATCTCTGAACCCAACAGATCCACAAATCCGCCATGGCGGACATCAAGAACTTCCTGTATGCTTGGTGTGGGAAGAAGAAACTAACACCCAACTATGACATTCGAGCCGCTGGAAACAAAAACCGACAGAAGTTTCTGTGTGAGGTCAGTTGTATTCTTTCAAATATGTCTGCATCTGCAAGCATCAGGTAAATAACAGAAGTAGCTTTTTATATATAAAAAATATACATGTAATTCCTCTTCCAAGGTTCGTATTGAGGGATTCAACTACACTGGAATGGGAAACTCCACCAATAAGAAGGATGCCCAGGCAAATGCTGCCAGAGACTTTGTCAATTATCTTGTCCGAGTTGGGGAAATGAATGCAGCGGAAGTCCCAGCCCTTGGGGTCAGTTATTACAATTTCACACAATAGGTTATCAATAAAACGTCACAATACAATGCAGAGCGTTCGATTTGGCTGCTGGGGGACAAGGAGACCCCCAGCTCTGCTAAAACCATTGACAACTTCTTGCCGTTTTCTATGGATTGTTAAATAAATGTGAACTATTTGGTTATATTATCGTCACCTCTTGAAGAGCATTGTCAGTACTACACATTTCCGATTATTCCATCCAAAACAATTGCCCCTATTTAGCACTATCATCAGTTATACAGCAAGTAACTACATACTTCTCATTATCAGTAAAAATCAATTGATCATGTAACATTCAAATACGTGCGCGTAGCCTAACGATATCTCAATATTGGCCACCATTAATAGGATATTTGAGTGATATAAAATAAAAGTGAACTATACCTGACAAGTATGAGTGGTTTAGGTTAATTTCCTGTCCTTTGTGGGCGCGGCCTATCGAGCAGCAGAAGGGCGCATTTGCCGATGGATGCACTGTTGGCTGATAGTGTTTCCTTTGCAAACTACCGGTAGAAACTTTGTACAGTTGGCTAAACATAGTGGTAAGTAGACCTAATGTAAATTTTTCTCCAACCAACGTAAGCCTACCTAGTGAAGTTAGCTAACGTTATCCCCTTTTCAACATTGTTTTTAAGTGTTTAGTCATGATTGCTACTGACAGACATGATAGGCTACATTTAAGTGGTAATGCCCTCGAAGTTAGTGTTTGGAGGATATATAAAAAAAACATGCCAATATATCCTCCAAACACCGGCTTCGAGGGCATTATCACTTTTATACAACGGGTTACCTACATATTCAAATAATAATTGCCATATTTTCATTAAAAACTTTATTTTGACGAATTTATCACTACTATTTCATCCTTCCACAAGACGTAGTCCCGACACAAATCTAGGGTTGCTACCCAAGCCGTCTGGTCGTTCTATCGGTTCGGTTACCAGAGACGCGACCCAGTCATTAAGTATTTTTGTTCTGTATCTATGGATGCGACCCAGTCGTTCGTTCTAAATGTGCCATTACCATATTGGCTGGCAACGTTCTTATCCCTTGCTTGCTAGCTAGCCAACTACGGCTAATTTACAGTCACGTTAAACAGTGCAGCCAGAAGAACAACAGTAGCTGTTTTAACTTCATAGATTTAGCCATGGTAACTTGTGGAATAGACACCGGCTGGAATGTGGTTTTAACCAATCGGCATTCAGGGTTAGACCCACCCTTTGTATAATGATTGATGGACCACAAATTAGCTGGCTAGCTAGCTGATAACAGATCACATCAATATGGCTAGTTAACCAATCCCTTGAACAGCACAAAGTTGTCAATGGTTTTACCGGAGCAGGGGATCTCTTTGCCCCCCAGCAGCCAAATCATATTGTGACATTTTATTGATAACGACCTATACTTTTTACGGTCCAAGATAAAACATTTGGTGATGGACACTTTATTACCGTATTAAAAATAATTTTCCTATTAACAGGCAAGTGGACCTGACTTCAGTGAGCCTGACTGTGGAGGAGGTGGTGGTGGAGGCAATGTTGGCTTTGGAAGTCTTCCTCCAAGTGGACCTATCCCTCCTCACCTGGTTGTGAAAGCTGAGCAAGGTACTAGGCTGATTTTGTTATGTTCTAAGCCTATTCTAATTCCATTCCCATGGTGTCATAACTCATCTCGTTGTTTAACTTTTGCTTCAGTGAATGCACCTTCTGGACCAGTCCCAGGTGTCACTGGTTTGGGATATTCGGGGGGTGGCGGCAATTATTCCGGAGGTGGTGCAAACACCAATGCTCCGTGGGATCGTGGGGCCAATCTGAAGGACTACTACTCAAAGAGAGATGAGCAAGAGGCACAGGCGGTAGGACCTGTCAATTCACAATTTTTATAAGGCGTTGTTGTTTCATATCCATTAGCTATATTTATGCTGAATTATATTTAATATAAGCAATGCATTTGTAGTAATTCACGTTCTTCACGCATGGGGCGGCAGGTAGCTTAGTGGTTAAGAGCATTGTGCCAGTAACCGAAAGGTCGCTGGTTCTAATCCCCGAAACCGACTAGGTGAAAAATCTGTCTGTGCCCTTGAGCAAGGCAATTAACCCTAATTGCTCCTGTAAGTCGCTCTGGATAAGAGCATCTGCTAAATGACAAAAGAAAATGCCTGATTTTAACCTTTGATGAGTTTATTTTCCCCATCAAGACTCTGGAGTCTGAGGAGGTAGATCTGAACGCAGGACTCCATGGCAACTGGACTTTAGAGAACGCCAAGGCCCGTCTGAACCAGTTTTTCCAGAAGGAGAAGAATCAAACCGATTACAAATACAGCCAAGTTGGGCCTGACCACAACAGGTCAGGAGGATGGGAAAATATTTCGGCCTGGAAGTTGATCACTTAGCCTGGTGGAACCAGCCTGAACTCTGGTGAACGCAGTGACCAGGCTGGTTCCAATAGGCTAGTGATTATGAGATTTTCCATAGATTCATTTATATACTAGTTTATCAGGAATATTGCTCCAAAGCATTCATGACAAACCAAAAGCTTGCCTGTAGACATACAGGTAACTGCCATAATATAGTAAACACTTGAGTAAATGAGGGATACAAAGTATATTGAAAGCAGGTGCTTCCACACAGATGTGGTTCCTGAATTAAGTAAGCAATTAACATCCCATCATGCTTAGGGTCATGTATAAAAATGCCCAGTTGCCCATTATTTTGGCTACCATGGCAAGAAGAAGCGATCTCAGTGACTTTGGAAAAGGAGCATAGGAGGTTTAAAGGGTGTGTGTGTCTCGGTCACCAGATCTCAACCCAATTGAACTCTTATTGGAGATTTTGGAGCGGTGCCTGAGACAGCGTTTTCCACCACTATCAACAAAACACCAAATTATGGAATTTCTCAAGGAAGACTGGTGTCACATCCCTCCAATAGAGTTCCAGACGTTTGTAGAATCTATGCCAAGGCACATTGAAGCTGTTCTGTTGACTCGTGGCCCAACGCCCTATTAAGACATTTTATGTTGGTGTTGCCTTTATCTTGGCAGTTACCTGTACATTAGTTATGGGGACTGTATGTTTTTCTGCTGGACTTATATGGAGACAGAGCCCTCCTGGGTGTGCGATTAACACCTGAGAGATCTCAGTGAATTTTTCTCAAGTCATTTTGGAGCTATTTATACCTCAGCCATAGAGATCCTATAATCCCAAAAGTAATTATATGATCTCTGACCTCAACTAATACCTTACTAGTACAATATTGATCCTATTTGAATTTAACTGGACTCTGTCAGTAATTATGAATATGAAAAGTAGTGGAGATGTTGATGCCAGAATTCACAACCTACCTTGTCAAGACATGTGACATCCTTTAGGCTGCACTAAAGTTGTCATATGGTTGCATCCACAATGGGGGATGGAATGGACAGATTATTGTGTGGTTTTGATTTCTGGTGTCACTTGTTCCACTAGGGATGGGGCATTCTGTGGCTGAGGTGATAAAGTTGATTGAAGTCTGGCAGAATAACATACTGGCTCCCCCAAGGGAAAGGGTTATCATCAGACTGGACAATAGGCTTCTCAAACTCAGAGGTCAGTTGGTCCAATGATTGATACATGTTTTATCAACTGTAAAAACATGACAGTTATACATCATTCTGAATTCAGATTTTTCATAGAAAGTGAATTAGGCTTAGTAACATTATGGATGATGGTGTTTTCTCGCTTCTACTTTAGGAGCTTTATTGCTGAGATGCAGTTATTTGTAAGACAGCTTGGTAGAAGTAAGTACCAACTTTTTCAGTCAACACAAACTGAATTGTCTGTCAGACGTAAAATGCTTTGTTTACAATTTTGGAGATGAGTCTCAGAAATATTTGATATTTCCAAATTCTGGAGAAAATGTAAACAATGACAACCTAGTTTAGTAGCTTTCTGGAGATAACAAGTATGTGACTTCACACGCAGTGTAAGAAATACATTTTCATTTGTTTTGTAGAGATAATCGCCCGTGAGCATGGCTCTAACAAGAAGCTGGCGGCCCAGTCCTCTGCGCTGTCTATCGTCCGTCAACTTTACCATCTGGGTGTCATTGAGCCTTATTCTGGCATTACTAAGAAGAAAGAGGGGGAAATTGTAAGTAACGTGTTTTACTGCTGAGAAATATATTACATTGATTTAATAATGACAGGGTCTTAATGGTGTATGCTTTGTGTTTGTTCACCTTATTTCATATGTTTCAAGGTTAGAACAAAGTATGCAGCAAGTCTTTTTAACCTATGGTTGAACCTTGGTGTCTTCACAGTTGGAAGCTTTTGAGGTGAATGTGGTGGATGATCTGCAACATCAGCTGCAGAGTATGGCCCAAGAACTGGGTGTTGCAATTCCACCTCCAGTAAGTCTAATTTATATGATGACATTTATTAATCGATATACAGTTTCAATTAGTATCTGTCCTGTTACACAGAAAAGCAAAGTACTGTATGTGATTGATATGAGTGTGACGTTGAATATGAGGATTATATGAGTTAAACCTTTTTCCTGTCCCCAGCCACCTGATCCAAGTACCCCAGTGTCCTTGGTCCAAGGGAAGATGGCTGTGTTTGAGCCCTCTCAGAGACAGAGCTTGGCCGGGGTGGTGCCCTGGTCCCCTCCGCAAGTCAACTGGAACCCCTGGACCAGCAGCAATATAGACGATGGACCACTAGCATTTGTGAGTCAGACTTGTTTCTAGCTGTACATTTGGTAAAAGAAATGCAACAATATATCTGTTTTCTACTGTTATTCTCATCATAATCTGTCCTTTCTTTCTCAAAACTAAAGCAGTCTATTTTGTCATGGTAGACCCACCATCCCATCTAAAAGTATCATTTACATTTCCCCCTAGTGCACCCCAGAGCAAATCAGCACTGACCTCCATCAGGAGCTGACCTATCAATTGGAACAAGATCAAAACCTACAGAAGGTATGTAGTTGCCCTCACTTAACTGCGATTGAGTGATTCCTCATGAAACCAGGACAAAAACAGACCCTGGTTTTGGGGATTTTCATTAAATGTAATCCATAGAATGGTCCTTTGGAGGTAGGATTGTTGACATTTATTTGACATTTGTATCTTAAAGCATAATTGAGAAATAATTGACTCCATAATGTTTCATTTGTAGGTGCTACAAAGCAAAAATGTGTGTCATGAAGCTTTACCGCTTGCCCTGTAATATTAGTATTTTGATTTACACAAAAATCTTACATTTAAAGGTGCAATATGCAGAAGTCGCCTAATTTCAGTTTGTGACAAAACAAGCAATATATTGTAGATAATCATTGTACCATCTAAACCGGTGAAATATATTTTCTATAACCAAAAATATTGTATTTTCAGCTTGTTTTAAGCTGGTGTGCAAAACCGAAAGTAAAAGATGCAAAAACTAAACTTAAGAATAGAAAACACAGAAACAGCGCACATAGAACAGATCTACCGCTTCTTAGATTTGCTTTCAATGAGAATGACAGATCTAGAACTCACAAAAAGTTACATATTGCAGCTTTAATTTATGAATATTTAATAATATAAACATGAATACTGAAAATATACCATTTCTGATTTGGCTAATTTTTCACTATTATTGTGCATAATATACTCTACAGGCATATCAAAGTTCCAGAGTGGGCTCTCTGTTACTTTTAGAGTTATTATCCAATTTGTAAGCATTACAACAGAGTGAATGTGAAAATGGATTCAAAATGGTCACCCTTTGCTGGTGATTTGCAGGATGTGCAATGATACAAGTAATTGGAGGGCTGTGGTTGTTTACATTGCCTACTATGCCAATTTCTCTGTATAAAATGGGCCATAACTTAAAAACTAGCAGAGATCCCACTCTGGAACTTTGATATGCCAATACTCTTAAAGGAGGCGGCCTGGGCAAGGCCAAAATGTCACAAATATTCCAACTTCAATTAATAATTTATTAATATGCTTTTAGATACAAATGTAAAATATATGTCAACAATCCTGCCTCCAAAGGACCAAGCTATTGAAAAAATGTAGTGGAAATCTGAAATTTTTTTTGTATTTTTTTTGTTCTGGTTTCGTGAGGAATCACTCGATTATCTTGATTTTGTGTTAAATTATGTCCTGTTATCAGTCCCTCCAGGATTCCGCGTTTCTGTGATCACATTTTCTGTGTGCAAAATCAACAATTACCCACATATTTTGCGAGGGCTTGCAAATTTTCCCAATCAACACACTATTTCCACATAAGTCAAATCATGGCAATATTATCACATAAATCTGACCCATCACCGCAGTACGAAAAGAGGGCTTGCGGTTTCAACCAATCACTGCACATTTCTCGCATAATATGCTTCAATCAAGCCACACGTCAACAAACTTTTTCCCACAGCGGCACATATTAGTGATAATTTGGACAGTCGTTGCATATTGCCATGCAAAATATCAGAATTTTGCATGAGACAGTGTTATGTCTGACTGACATGCAAAAATGTGTCTCCTAGGTCATTGGGGAGCGAGACGGGCTTCCAGTGAAGAAGTTTGAGGAGGCGATAATGACTGCCGTTCAGGGCAGCTCGGTGGTGATCATTCGAGGGGCAACCGGCTGTGGCAAAACCACCCAGGTTCCTCAGTACATCCTGGATCAGTTCATCAAGAGTGGGAGGGCGTCCGAATGTAACATTATTGTAACCCAGGTAAGACTCAAAATGAAATATTCATGTATTTGAATATTTTCCTTGCTTGTGATGAGATAATGACTTTGTTGTCCCCTTGGGAAATGTTGTTTGTGGCATTGTGTAAATGTTAAACAACATTACAAACAGAAACACAGGTCCAGGACATGGACTGTTACATACAAGATAAATATAATATAAAAGTGAAGATAGCTGAATGACTGACTGCTATTTCACAGTGACCTCCTTCCCTTCTTCCTCAGCCCCGGCGTATCAGTGCAGTGTCTGTGGCAGAGCGTGTTTCCTACGAGAGAGGAGAGGATGTCGGTAAGAGCTGTGGGTACAGCGTCCGCTTTGAATCCATCCTCCCACGACCCCATGCCAGCATCATGTTCTGCACTGTTGGTAAGTGTCTCTCTTATTCTCGTTTGTCATTCATACTTTAGGTGTTTTATGTAGCTAATATAACTGGGGATGAGAATAGCTCGGGTTAAGAATAGCAGAAGACAAATGAAATTGTATTGATAATTTATAGCATAATTTGATGTGTATTGCTCTATTTCTAGGTGTGTTACTGCGGAAGCTGGAAGCAGGTATTCGCGGGATCAGCCATGTGATTGTGGATGAAATCCACGAGAGGGACATCAATGTGCGTATATCTGAAGATCCCCCAAATCGTAATCCTTAGGGGCAGGTTATCCTGATAGTACAGATTGAGCTAAGCCCTGGACTAAAAAGTACTCTCAATGGAGAATCTCAATTGAGAATGATTTGTAGTCCAGGACTAGGCTTAATCTGTGTCTGGGAAATCATCCCTCGGTGTACTTAAGTAATTGTTTACTTTTTGCTCTTCACAGACTGACTTCCTCATGGTGGTGTTGAGGGATGTGGTCCAGACCTACCCAGAGGTCCGCGTCATCCTCATGTCCGCCACCATCGACACCACCATGTTCAGAGAGTACTTCTTCAACTGCCCTGTCATCGAGGTGTTCGGCCGCACATTCCCAGTACAAGGTAAGAGCACAGTCAAATGGAGCTCACAAACTTTCTTAAATCATCTAACCTTTATATGATCCAGTTTATGGGCTTGTAATGGATAGCTCTAAGGTGTTGTTTCCAACAAAGTTTCAATCTTTTCCAGAGTACTTTTTGGAAGATTGCATTCAGATGACACATTTCATTCCTCCTCCGAGTGATAGAAAGAGGAAGGACAAGGATGAGGAAGGAGGAGATGAAGAGGTATGAGATAGTACTTTGTCCTCAGTCATAAGCACAGAGAACCATTTAATTGAACCACTGTTTGTTGTTCTACGGAAGTGTGGTCTATGCATATGTTTCTTCCACTTGTTTGTCACAGGCCAACTGTAATGTGATATGTGGGCCAGAGTACACCCCAGACACTAAGCGCTCCATGGCCCAGATGAATGAGAAGGAGACTCCCTTTGAGCTGGTGGAGGCCCTGCTGAAGTACATCGAGACCCTCCAGGTGGCCGGGGCCGTGCTTGTCTTCCTGCCCGGCTGGAACCTCATCTACTCCATGCAGAAACACCTGGAGATGAACCCACACTTTGGTGTGTAGTTTCAGTACTAATCACTGTTCTCCCATAGAAATACTGTTGGTCAAAGAATTTGGGTTGATATCAACAAAAGCATTGTTTTCATTTTAGTCCTAAATCACCCAAGTTTCTGCCATAGAAATGCTGTCTTAATTGTAATGACACCAGTAAATTTACTTGCTATTAATTTTGTTTCACCCAGGGAGTCAACGGTACCTGATTCTGCCTCTCCACTCTCAGATCCCCAGAGAGGAGCAGAGGAGGGTATTTGAGCCTGTGCCTGAAAACATCACCAAGGTCAGTCAGTCAGGGTCCTACTGTTTTTCCTCTATAGGTGTATAATGTTTCTTATCTGTTATCATTATTTTTGTTATTTATATTTGATCCTTTTCAGGTGATCTTGTCAACAAACATCGCAGAGACCAGTATTACCATCAATGATGTAGTATATGTCATCGACTCTTGCAAGTAAGTGCTTCTCACTTGATATACTGTACTTTATATGATCTGTTTGAGTTACATTCATTATCATTGCATGGGAGTGTAGCTACTAATGACCACCCATTATGGTGTGTTTTCTCTTAGGCAGAAAGTGAAACTTTTCACGTCTCACAACAACATGACCAACTACGCCACGGTCTGGGGCTCCAAGACCAACCTGGAGCAGAGGAAGGGTCGGGCCGGCCGCGTCCGGGCTGGCTTCTGCTTTCATCTGTGTAGCAGAGCACGCTTCGACAAGTAAGTCTCTGGGCCCCGTTGCATAAAACATCTTAAAGGTGCAATATGCAGAAATCGCTCCGCCATTTCCTTGTTGCTAAAAATCAAATGTTTAGTCTAATTTAAGTTAATGTGACAAAACAAGCAATGTATAGTCTAGAGAATCATTGTACCATCTAAACCGCTGTGAAATATATTTTCTATAACCAAAAATATTGTATTTTCAGCTGTTTGAAGCTGGTGTACAAAAGTAAAAGATGCAAAAACAAACTTAAGAACGGGAAACATAGAAATATTGCACATAGAACAGATGTACCGCTTCGTAGACTTGCTTTCAATGAGAATGACAGATCTATAACTCACATTTCTATGAGTTTGGTTGGGTTGCCCAAAAAGTTACATATTGCAGTTTTAAGTGTTTCCCTTAAGGATTTCCCTTAAGGAAAAATGTTTCCTTACCTACAGGAATTGTTTAAGGTTGTTGCATAGAGCCCCTCAAACATTTTCCGTAGGTAAGGGTATACTTAAGAGGTTTTACTATAGTTTGAAGGCATGTATGGCAGAAAGAGTATCTGGTTACCATGGAGATGGCCTGATTCACTGACTGAACATGGAGTAGGTAGCTAGCTAGCTTTGTAGCTATGGATTGTGCACCTTCGATTGTTTAGCAAAGTAGCTAGCTATATATCTAGCTAGCTGGTTGATGTTTTCCTTTTGCAACCAGGGCAGAGAAAAGCAACATTAACCTCCACAAATGCTGTTTATGTTGATATCCATACTGAATGAAGCACTTAAGGGACCTCACGGGCACCATTAAAGTTGGAATCCTTAGTTGCTACATACATTTTCTGACATAAAAATGATATACACCCATTGATTTAAAAACAGAATATAACTTATAAATGCCTCATGAGTTTAGTTCAACTGTCGTGCCCTATCAGAACCCAAAATACAACTTGTTTTACTCCAATGTTTGTAAACAATGTAAATGTTAACAAAAGGGTGACCACATTTAAAATGCCCAAATGCGGGGCAACAGGATGATTGCCATGTTCTTCACGTTTTACCAGTGAAACATCCAAACTGCATCTGCATGCTTATCATTTGATCTCAATACATTTCATGGGAATATGCATTTAGATCTTTTTCAATTACTTTTCCTGTGAATTTGAGCAGACGGTGTTAACAAACTATATAGCTGTCCTGTATTTTGTTTAAATCCAAGTAAATTCAGCCTATTGGCGCACGCTGTTGAGTTTGAGCACATTATCATTTTTGGGGGACTACTCTGCTAACCATCCTAAAATCTCATAAGAAATTACTAAGGTGGTGTTTTTGGTGTATCAGTTACATAATACTATGCTATTGTATTTGGTTCTGTTATGTAGAATACTAATGAATCATTATGTGATCTTCCAAGATATTGATTAAGCGTTGCTCTAACTTTACTAAACGAGCACCATTGTGAGAAGTGGCGCTCCGGTGAGCTCCAGCAGCACTACAGACCTACTCCTGCTGCACCGAAGGAGCTAATTGAAGTGCACGTAGCCTACTCTTTTGCCTCGGCCAAAATTTGGTGATGCAGAAACGAGAGACCACATGTCTGTTTTATGAGAATCTGGGAATATTTTACCATGGACACATTTCTGGTTGGTCTCAGCCAGTAGCAGCAAATATGTTGAATGAGCAACTAGTGAGCATTGTGAGCCTCACAAGTTTGACGAAATTACCTTATATATTTTATTCTAATACGGCTATTTACTTACCTTTGTAGCTCTTTGTCAGAAGCACGCTTTTTGTAAGTAGTTATAGGCAACTGTCCTCCAAGTTTAGCTGAAATTTAGCCCGACGGGATTGGAGAAATGTAATTGGTTGATGATAGGCTTATGACATTTGCCTAGTATGTTGCGTCTTGCGTTGTACATAATATCAGATCTAAGCAACGATTGGAGAAGTGTTTAACATCACCAGTACCACATTCTTATGATGTATATCTTTACATAAGCGCAAGGGGACTGCAAGAGACAGCTTGGAATGTCTGTCTGAAATACGGGACAAATGTACCTTTTTTTTCTAAATTACTGGTGTTTTGAATTTGTTTATAAAATGCGGGACATAATTGTTTGGTTGCGGGTCCAAGGGCCAAAATGCAGGACTGTCCCACACAATCCGGGTCATGTGGCCACCCTAACTGTATAGCCTCAAAACATGGGTAAAACTATAATGTTCACATCATGTATGGTCAGTCCATGCATCCATAGCTCTGTCCATGAATTTGAGTGTGGTTACATTTCTCCAGGCCCATCCCTCAGCTTTTTACCAAAACACAGGCGGGGTGGGGTGATGGTTTGCTTCAATTAAAGATTCTAGCTTTAATTTGTCACTTAATTTAAGGGGGATATTCACCTTAAAATGTTTTATGCAACCTTCATTGGAGTTGAAGAGATGCCATACTGCTGTGCCCGTATTCAAAAAGCCTCTCACATTATGAGTGCTGATCTCGGATCAGGTCCCCCCTGTCCGTGTAAATGTATTCATTATTATACAAAAGGCAAAACTGTTCCTAGATCAACACTACTACTCTGAGATGCTATATGAATATGGACCCTGTTTTTTCACTCTTATGTGAAAAACTGAGTTTGATTTGAATTAGGGAAGTGATGAATGTGTGCTTTTGTGCCTACCCTTTTCTTCATCCCAGACTGGAGACCCATATGACCCCTGAGATATTCCGTACTCCTCTCCACGAGGTAGCCCTGAGCATCAAGCTGCTGAGACTAGGAGCCATTGGCCATTTCCTTTCCAAGGCCATCGAGCCCCCTCCCCTGGACGCGGTTATAGAGGCTGAACACACACTGAGAGGTTAGTCGTTTTTAGCTTTGACCTTAACAGATTTGTTTTGTCCTCTAGTGTTCTAGAAGTGTCCCCCATTGTTGTAAACATTACCAACCACCTTCAATAGTGTTGGCATTTACGATTCCTTGATATATTTCACTAGAACTGGACGCTTTGGACACAAACGACGAGTTGACTCCGCTCGGTCGGATCCTTGCAAAGCTTCCAATCGAGCCGCGGCTGGGGAAGATGATGATTATGGGCTGCATATTCAAGTGAGTGCTGCATCAGAAATAATGCATGCATTTAGTAAAATCCTTTCCTAAGTTACTATCCTTCCTTAAGATACTGTTCCATATTGACAAATATCGCTACACTGTTTTATATTTCCAACGAGAAATCATTTAAGTAGTCTCTGCTCTGCTTTCTAGTGTTGGAGATGCGGTGTGCACCATCTCAGCAGCCTCTTGCTTCCCAGAGCCCTTTATCAATGATGGCAAGCGCTTGGGCTACGTTCACCGAAACTTTGCTGGCACCCGCTTCTCAGACCACGTGGCACTGCTGTCAGTCTTCCAGGCTTGGGACGATGTGAGGTGAGTCCAGGCTTCATAGAAACATGCAACAACAACCAATCCCCTCTCATGGATTAGAATTAAACAGATGCAACTGATAATTGTGTCTGATACGATTGCAAACTGAACACCGTAATGCCATTCATTGCAGTAGGAAGAGATGTCAGCTGAATGACCCATTTTTGTTTTGGAATACACTCCTATTCCCTCTCACTACCTGGCAAATGAAGGTTATGACGGCTTGTTAACTTGTCTTTTTATTGTAGAATGGGAGGTGAGGATGCAGAGTCCAGATTCTGTGAACACAAGAGGCTCAACATGTCCACACTGAGGATGACCTGGGAGGCCAAAGTGCAGCTGAAGGAGATCCTCATCAACTCTGGCTTCCCTGAGGGTAAACTATGTCTGCGTCTCAAATGACTCCCTATAGTGCACTACCTGGTCAAAAGTAGTGCACTTTATTGGGAATAGGGCAGTGGTGTAAAGTACTTAAGTAAAAATACTTTAAAGTACTACTTAAGTAGTTTTTTTTTAGGGTATCTGTACTTTACTATTTATATTTTTGACTACTTTTACTTTTACTCCACTACATTCCTAAAGAAAATAATGTACTTTTTACTCCATACAGTTCCCTGACACCCAAAAGTACATTTTGAATCCTTAGCAGGACAGGAAAATGGTCCAATTCATGCACTTAAGAGAATATCTCTGGACATCCCTACTACCTCTGATCTGGGGGACTCACTAAACACATGATTTGTTTGTAAATTATGTCTGTGTTGGTGTGCCATAAATAATAAAACAAATTAAATTGTGCAGACTTGTTTGCTTAATATAAGGAATTTGAAATTATTTAGACAGTACTTCCACTTTTGGTTCTTAAGTATATTTTAGCAATTACATTTACTTTTGATACTGACTGTAAGTCGCTTTGGATAAAAGCGTCTGCTAAATGGCATATTATTATATTATTATTATTATACTTAAGTATATTTAAAACCAAATACTTTTAGACTTTTACTCAAGTAGTATTTTGCTGGGTGACTTTCACTTTTACTTGAGTCATTTTCTATGAAGGTATCTTTCATTTAACTCAAGTATGACAATTGGGTACTTTTTCCACCACTGGAATAGGGTGCCACTCGGGATGCACTCCATGTGAACAACCCAGTAGTATTGCAGTGTTTGCATAATATACAATCACATCTGAAATTGTAAAAAAAAATGTTTGTCTTTTCATTAGAGTGCTTGATGACACAGATGTTCAACAACGTTGGACCCGACAACAACCTTGACGTGGTCATCTCTCTCCTGACATACGGCTCCTATCCCAACGTGTGCTACCACAAGGAGAAGAGGAAGATTCTCACCACTGAGGGGCGCAATGCCCTCATCCATAAATGCTCCGTCAACTGCCCCTTCAGCAGCCAGGACATGACCTACCCATCACCGTTCTTCGTCTTTAGCGAAAAGGTACGATTTCAAATTAGAAGAAGTCAATGTCTACATAATATTAATATACTGGTGTATCATAGGTTGTATACCATTTTCTTTTTTGTGTGAGCTAAAATGTGTATATGTTCAGATATAAAAAAAATCATCATCATTAATAATTGTAAATTGGTGTACAAGTTTCAAGCAGCCAATTATTGTATAATTTTTTATTTCCACCAGATCCGGACTCGAGCTATCTCAGCCAAAGGAATGACACTAGTCAGCCCACTCCAGCTGATCTTGTTTGCATCCAAGAAAATCACATCAAACGGGGAAATCATTGAACTGGATGATTGGTGAGTGCAGCTACTATTTTTTTCCTGCATGTGTACCTACAGTACTAAAAAGGGTTTTAGATTGAGCATGAAATTCGTGAGATCAAGCCGATAAAACCACCATTTGTATTCACAGGATCAAACTGAAGATACCGCATAATGTGGCTGCCTGCATAGCTGCTTTGAGGGCTGGAATGGAGGCACTTGTTGTGGAAGTCACCAAAGACCCTGAGTACATCAAACAGCTGGACCCCACAAACGAGCGCATGCTCAACATCATCCGCCAAATCTCCAAGCCTTCCGCAGCCGGGCTTAACCTCATGGTCAACAATCAACGGTAAGATAAACACGTGATTAGACATCTCAGCTCTGGGGGGATGGGAACATTTAGGGTGCATTCCAAATGGCACCCTATTCCCAACATAGTGCACTGCTTTTGACCAGAGCCCTATCAACCTTAGTCCACTAAACATCAATAAACATGACAAACCGTACATACTTGTAGTAGTGAAGCCATGTAGTGGCAATAATGAATTAGCTTATTCTGTGTAGATTGTCAACATTTGTGCACAGTAATCTACTCCACTGAGTAATAGGACAGCATTGGAAATGTATTTTCATTTTTTATTCCATGTCTGAAATGTGTTTTGAATACAGAATACAGCTGGTTTACATGTCTTGTCTTTATCAGTTTTGGAGATGGTCCACGTCCTCCCAAGATGGGCAGGTTTGATGGAGGTGGAGGAGGGTACCAGGGCGGAGGAGGCTCCGGATACAGGGGAGGAGGAGGTTACAGAGGCGGTGGAGGATACCAGGGCGGCGGCGGATACAGGGGTGGTGGTGGAGGTTACCGAGGTGGTGGTGGTGGAGGTTACCGAGGTGGTGGTGGTGGTGGTGGTGGTGGAGGTTACCGAGGTGGTGGTGGAGGATACCGTGGTGGTGGTGGTTATGGAGGTGGGAACAGGGGTGGTGGATACAGAGGGGGTCAGGGATATTAGGGCATTTTGAAGTGTAACTTTTTAGATGTTGTGCATTACAATGCATAATATGACCTTTAGGAACATGACGTTTGTTGAGTGTTTTTGACTAATATTAGGACAAGTGAGTCTATGTAAGAATGTTTTGTTTTAGTTTAGCCTTTTGTGACCCTCCCCTTGAAATCAAGGTTATTGGCCCACAGAGAAATTGTGTATTTGAATCTACTTGTATTGAGCACCATAAAACAAATAGTAATTTGCTGTATACATCATCTGTTCTCTGTATTATCTATGTAGACTGACTCGTTGGATTTTGGTTAATGTAAAATTCCAAAAGCGTTTTGGGGTGGGGTTTTTCCTTTTAAATATTTCATGTCATGAGCCTCATTTTGTCAGTGATTTACAGCTCAAATATGTTTCCTGCCATTACTAAGTAATAAATTCAATAAAATGTTTTTTCCAACACTGCCTGATTTCCTTAGCATTTCCTCTGTAAATGTACAATAAGGAGCACAATTAATTTTGAAAAACACATTTTATTGAAATGTTCATATAAAGTGCACGTTTGTTTATAGGGCCAGTGCATAGAAAAGCTGGGATCTTTCTCTGAAGTGCATTGAAATGAATATGAACACAAATATAATCCAACACTTGAAACATAAATCAATCTGCCTGAAGTAGTAATGCATGTTACATATGTGGTCCTCTGTAGCTCAGCTGGTAGAGCACGGCGCTTGTAACGCCAAGGTAGTGGGTTTGATCCCCGGGACCACCCATACACAAAAAATGTATGCACGCATGACTAAGTTGCTTTGGATAAAAGCGTCTGCTAAATGGCATATTATATATTATATTACATAGCAAGATACTGAGCAACAGCTATGTCCAATAAAATTGTCAGAGGTCTGGTTACTTCAAATTGTTTTACCTATTGTGTACAACACATTTATGCTGCAATCCTAGACTCAGGAATTCACCCACATTTTGCGCAGCAAGCCTATATCGCCCTTGGTGTTGGACTCCAGTTTGTTTGTGGTGATCTCCAAACTGAGTTTCTGCAGGGCCTTGGAAAGATAATCTGTCTCGTTCTTGTCCCCACTGGCTGTCTGCTCCAGGTCCTCCTCACTCGCTTTGTACAGATTGTCAGGAACAAGAATGGTCACTCCAAACCCGTGGTTATTATGAATGTGGTTGTCGGTCAGCTTCAGCTGGGGCTGAGGGAGAACCTGTTAATAGAAAACACATTTCATGTCACCGATCTATCCTTGGTTTTCTACTTGAGTTGACACCGACATAACAGTGAGGTTGTTCACTATTTTTAAGGTGAAGCTAACATCAGCCACCTATTTAATTAGGTCTCTGGCTCTGCTTCACTGCCACATTTATTATACGTACTACAACGCCACTGATGTCACAGATGTATTTATCAGGCTGCTGACAATCTAGGGTTCCTCCTTGATTTAAAGGCTTAAGTTGATTCCTTCCCCAGAATCCACACTACGTCACCACAATGGAATTCAGTGACATTTCCACCTGTACATTTGAGTGTATATACAGTGGGTGAAAAAAGTATTTAGTCAGCCACCAATTGTGCAAGTTCTCCCACTTAAAAAGATGAGAGGCCTGTAATTTTCATCATAGGTACACGTCAACTATGACAGACAAAATGAGGGGAAAAAATCCAGAAAATCACATTGTAGGATTTTTAATGAATTTATTTGCAAATTATGGTGGAAAACAAGTATTTGGTCAATAACTAAAGTTACTCAATACTTTGTTATATAACCTTTGTTGGCAATGACACAGGTCAAACGTTTTCTGTAAGTCTTCACAAGGTTTTCACACACTGTTGCTGGTATTTTGGCCCATTCGTCCATGCAGATCTCCTCTAGAGCAGTGATGTTTTGGGGCTGTCGCTGGGCAACACGGACTTTCAACTCCCTCCAAAGATGTTCTATGGGGTTGAGATCTGGAGACTGGCTAGGCCACTCCAGGACCTTGAAATGCTTCTTACGAAGGCACTCCTTCGTTGCCTGGGCGGTGTGTTTGGGATCATTGTCATGTGAAAGACCCAGCCACGTTTCATCTTCAATGCCCTTGCTGATGGAAGGAGGTTTTCACTCAAAATCTCACGATACATGGCCCCATTCATTCTTTCCTTTATACGGATCAGTCGTCCTGGTCCCTTTGCAGAAAAACAGCCCCAAAGCATGATGTTTCCACCCCCATGCTTCACAGTAGGTATGGTGTTCTTTGGATGCAACTCAGCATTCTTTGTCCTTCAAACACGACGAGTTGAGCTTTTACCAAAAAGTTCTATTTTGGTTTCATCTGACCATATGACATTCTCCCAATCCTCTTCTGGATCATCCAAATGCACTCTAGCAATCTTCAGACGGGCCTGGACATGTACTGGCTTAAGCAGGGGGACACGTCTGGCACTGCAGGATTTGAGTCCCTGGCGGCGTAGTGTGTTACTGATGGTAGGCTTTGTTACTTTGGTCCCAGCTCTCTGCAGGTCATTCACTAGGTCCCCCCGTGTGGTTCTGGGATTTTTGCTCACCGTTCTTGTGATCATTTTGACCCCACGGGGTGAGATCTTGCGTGGAGCCCCAGATCGAGGGAGATTATCAGTGGTCTTGTATGTCTTCCATTTCCTAATAATTGCTCCCACAGTTGATTTCTTCAAACCAAGCTGCTTACCTATTGCAGATTCAGTCTTCCCAGCCTGGTGCAGGTCTACAATTTTGTTTCTGGTGTCCTTTGACAGCTCTTTGGTCTTGGCCATAGTGGAGTTTGGAGTGTGACTGTTTAAGGTTGTGGACAGGTGTCTTTTATACTGATAACAAGTTCAAACAGGTGCCATTAATACAGGTAACGAGTGGAGGACAGAGGAGCCTCTTAAAGAAGAAGTTACAGGTCTGTGAGAGCCAGAAATCTTGCTTGTTTGTAGGTGACCAAATACTTATTTTCCACCATAACTTACAAATAAATTCATTACAAATCCTACAATGTGATTTTCTGGAATTTCTTTTCTCAATTTGTCTGTCATAGTTGACATGTACCTATGATGAAAATTACAGGCCTCTCTCATCTTTTTAAGTGGGAGAACTTGCACAATTGGTGGCTGACTAAATAATTTTTTCCCCCACTGTATATATTCCCCTCACATGGAATAGCCATAATGCTGTAACTGAAAGTACTGTATACTATACCTTGAGATTGATTCCACCCTGTGAGCCTTTTGAGTCTTTCGCCAGCTGGTTGCTGCAGTGATGGATTTCATTCCGATGCAGCTCTGCAACGCTGCCAGGGTACAGCTCCACCCCTGCCCCCTGAGAGTCATCAATGTCAAGTAAATCTGTGCTCATTTTCTAGGATGTCTCAGAGCATTTCTGTCCTATTTTGCATGTTACCCCTAATTTACATCCACACAATTACATGGCTATATCAACAATCAGATAAGCCATGTAACTCAAATACAAATCAAAGGCAATCTTTCAAAATGACAACTCTACCTTTGCACCAGAGATCTCACAGTTCTTCATGACCAGAGAGGCTCCAGTCAGGACACACACTCCTGTGCCTTGACACTTCAACACGCAGTTGTCCAGGGTCAACTGTCCCGACTCCACCACAACGATGCCATCACAGGTTCCATGCTGCACCAATGTCAGGTTCATGAGCATCACCTTGGAGGCTTTGGACGCCACAAAGTTGTCATGGGATGGGTCAGAGTAGAACACCACCTCTTTCCTTTCTCCTTCTCCTGCAGAGTATAGAACCATTGAGGCATGAAGGTCAACTAACATTTAAGTATCACTTGTCGTCAGGTGTTAACACAATGTTAGCTTTACTTCCTTTAATGGATATACAGATATTTTATTACGGCCATAAATGTAAACTAAAGTAATGTCGTATTTACCCTTTATTGTGATGTCGTCTGTGAGGGATGCCAGTGCAACTGCGTGGTACTCTCCTGGGAAGACCACCACCGTGTCACCAGAGAAGCAGGAGTCCAGAGCGGCTGACAGACTGTCATGCTGCTGGATCAGAGTGTCCTGCGAGAAGTTCTTGATCTGTGGTCACAATGAAATAAAGATACAAAGTTTGGAAATAACTGAGATAAGCTGCAATAAATCAAGTTACAAAACATACTTTTTGCCAAAAGAAATTACATGACTGAAGTGAATAACACCAGACCCAGCACACCAACCATGTCTGTTGTCATTATCTGGGCAACAATGTGTGTCACAATCCTTCCAGATGTTCTCTGTCCCTTTCTGCGTTTGTAGATCCTCGGATAGAAGGGTCCATGGCTCCTAAAGACATTAGTTGAGCAGCAACACTAGTTGTTTTACACTATGTCAGCATTGGTAGTTGGATGTTGAGAGAAGCTAGGACCAAAGACCATATTTTACCTGAGTCGCAGGTCTTCCCAGAACTTCAGGAGCCCACAGAGCATTGACATTTCGTAGTACTTTTTCCAGCACTCCACAGCCTCCCCTGGTAAGGCCTCCCCACGGATTTTGGTCTGGAACTTTGTCAAGTCCAGTCGTTTGCTTCGGTACTCCTCCAGGGTCTTCCGGTATCGCTCACTGATTGGACCAGGGATGGTTCCATCCTGAATGTCATAATACCTGCAAAAAAATACACAGCATAGTCCAGGTGAACTTCATTCTCAACACAGCGGTAACATCATATCTAATCTTTGTGGCTTGTTTTTGGTTGGCTCTGCTGGAATACGGAGGGTATGCATACAGCTGTATGCGTTTCTCAATGAGTCCTGCGTACTCGTCACATTCCTCCTCATCATCCCAGTCTCTCCAGAGGAAATCATAGAAAAACCTGCAGGGAAGCATAAAGACAAAATCTGGAATAAATTGGATTTATCAGATTTGGATTTACATTGTTTTGGAGGGGATCCCTCATGTTATTCACCTTGCATGTTCCAGATACTCTGCAATGTTGTCTACGTCAGCTCCCAACCCTTGTATGGGGTAGACATCCAAGATTGGCACAGAGTAGTCATGTTCCCGCAACACATCTTCAACCAACTCTCTTGGTAGGTTGGCAATGTTTGAGGAATATGGTTCTGCTACAGAAACGGACACTCGAAGAGGGAGGGTTTTTCCTTCGCATGGTGTACAGTTGACCTAGACAGCCAAAGTTCAGGTTTAGGAAAAGGGTCAGACACATTGCATCCCCATTATCGCAGAATTGGGGATATGGTATCGTGTTCTACACCTGTGTGCTTAGTGGTAACTTCTTGAGCCATTGTTAACAGATGTAGCTAGCTACCGGTATTTGTTTGAAACGCTAATGTTAGAGGGAGCCCCTGTCAAACAAATAACGTTAACTGTGCCTGTGGTACTAGTAAGCTAATGATTGCTGAGCAAGCTGATTTGATTCAACTCAACTGACATTACAAAAAATACATTCCATTGCATGAGCCACATCAGTTAACATAATTTGAATTAACATTTTACATTACCATGGAAATTATTGCATCACAATACCAGGCAGCCATTAGCCGTTCTTTTCATTCTATTTCTATGGTGAGCCACCTGTATCTAAATATTTGAAATTGTATCTGAATGTAACAACAAAACTACTAGCAGTTTCAGTAATTCAAGGTTAGTGCTATCTGGGACACCCTAAACACCCTTACCTTAACCATAACCATAACACTTATGTAACCTTAACCACAGATAGAAAAATGAGCCAGATATTTCACTGGATGTATAAGTGTGAAGCATCTGGTTGGTGTTTCCACTCACTACCAAATATGGTGATGAGAGCAAGCCCAGTGGCCAGTAGTGGGAGAAGATGGAGCGAGATGGATTTTGGCCGACATTAGGCAAAAGTTCTCATCGATGTAACATTTGATCTCAATACGGTTTTCTGTTCCCAAAATTAGAATCTGTTACGAACAGAGTGGACTAAGTTTTGTAGATTTTACCCTTTGCCAAAGTAAAACAAAAATTGCGTTGTTTAGAATGTGCGCAGGGGCGAATTGAGTTATTGCACATGCGCACTTCAGAGTAGGCGTTCCCTAACGGAAACATGCAAATACATGCTACAACGCTGTGCTGGGCTGGGCTCTTCCCCCCTCCTTGCTTGTTCTGCCCACTATGACTAATTTGTTCCTGTGGTCTATCTTGGGTTAGTTATAAAAATATTTGCCTTAACATTTAAGTTACCATTTTTAACCTCTACGGGATCGGTGTCCTGTATACGGGACGGTTGAGCTAACGTGCGCTAATGTGATTAGCATGACTGTTGTAAGTAACAGCAAACTTTCCAGGACATAGACATGTCTTATATGGGCAGAAAGCTTACATTCTTGTTAATCTAACTGCACTGTCCAATTTACAATAGCTATTACAGTGAAAAAATACCATGCTATTGTTTGAGGAGAGTGCACAGCAACAGAAAATGTATCACGGCAACTTGTTTGATACGTTCACCTCTGAACGTAAATAATGTACTTACATTCAGTAATCTTGCTCTGATTTGTCATCCTAAGGGTCCCAGAGATTAAATGTAGCATAGTTTTGTTCGATAAAATCCATTTTTATATTAAAATGTAGGAACTGTGTTCTACAGTTTGAACCCCTGCTGTCTCTGGCTCCACACCCACCCCGCCCGGCCATCTAGATGTGTGAAAGTTAGTGTATAAGCTAATGATCCATCATGTATGACATTCCTGGGAGTGTGTTAACTTACAAAAATGATATGTTAATACAAAATGTATGTTCTCTATAGTTATGTACTTGAAAATGTATCAATTGGCCAATTCGGCACATTTGGGCAAACTTGATACAAAATAGTCCAGTATTGCAACGCTTCACTGGATCAATCTGAAACTTTGCACTGCTGCCATCTAGTGGGCAAAATCTAAATTGCACCTAAACTGCAATTTTATATTGTGGCCTTTCTCTTGCATTTCAAAGATGATGAAAAAAAACAAAAAACGCATGTTTTTTGGTTTTCTATTATCTTTTACCAGATGTAATGTGTTATATTCTCCTACATTCATTTCACATTTCCACAAACTTCTAAGTGTTTCCTTTCAAATGGTATCAAGAATATGCATATCCTTGTTTCAGGTCCTGAGCTACAGGCAGTTAGATTTGGGTATGTCATTTTAGGCGAAAATTGAAAAAAGGGTCCGTTCAATGGGGAACCGAGTGGGGAGTGGAACGATTCCATATAGGAAGGACCATAATTAAATCACTAACTTACGTCGACAAGCACACCCACGAATGGCAGGTCCCCAATATCGCAGTTTACCAACAGGACTTCTGGGGAAGTTTTCCACACTGCAGTCCAGGAGCGTTTGCTGGCAAGTTTTTCTATTATGTAGAAGCTTATAGCTTCATCTACGTCTTCTGCCTGTTAAACATGCAAATAAAACATGTGTTAGCATACTTGACTGAACTTCTTCGGTTGTCAGTTTATTCATTAATTAGCTAGCTGGGTAGCTAAAGTTCGCGAACGTTATTACTAGCCAGCTAGCTGTAGCCACTTACCGAACACTGGCCAATAATATGATCGCAAAACAGAGCAACCCGTTCAACGTAGGTGTATGTATTGTTGGAGATGAAGATTTGTGGCAAGACTTGTGCCTCTTCTATATTATCAAATGGCTCTTCACCGTCAGGATTTGGGGTCAAAAGTTTCCTTCTCATAGGCACTTTATTCCTTACGATTTGAGGTGTGTCAGCAGCAGAGAATGATGTTGAACCATCATCACGGTTTGGCACCTCACTTTTCGGAATGGTGCTGATATGAGACTGGGCCTTTTCATGGGCCATCTCACTTGAGGCAGGCATTTTTAAATGTTCCTCGTTCGCTTTCTGTGCTGTTTCATCGTGAACATCTTCCAGAAGAGGAAAATTATCAGGGGCACAAGTTGCCATTGTATAAGATTTGCTAATAAAAGTGATTGTTTTGTAAAATAAAGCTAGCTTGCTTGCTTACCGTTAGCTAAAGACCCGAAAAACCAACGACTTTTCCCCCGCACCACGAGCCAGGGTTGGTTCAGATTGAGGTTTTGAAAAATTGAGCGCGAAACGGTTGACGAGCGAGCTACTAGGTGCAGCAGGAAGTAGCTTGCGCCATCACAAAACACTCAAGTCAGAATAAGTTGAGTTCACAAGCTAACTTTTTCATAAAGCCAGGTATCAGCGTGAGTCAATTGCAATTTTCCTTCTAGACCGTCTATTTTGACGATTGCAAACAGACGGTCTAGGGGGTCGCGGGCAATAATATATACAAAATAAGAATATTATTATTTTTGAAAGGTAACCGCCTAACTTAAACTTTTATTTTGAAAGGATATCACCGCTTATTGCTGCTGACCTTACACAACGTTACCGCTACACACAGGCGTGCGTGCGCTGCATTGGTTATTATTGCTGACTTTACACGTGCATCGCGTCCGCAGTGATGAAATGGCTAGCTACGTTCGGACTCAGAGGGTTTTCGCGCTGCACACACTCACTGACCAATACAATAACGTTCTCGCCCAACACACACACACTGATCCAATACAGCTAGCTTGATTGACAGCTAACAATGCAGACGTGTTCTACAGGCATTGCACATGTGGATAGTTAGCTGTCATTTAACTCATGTAGGCTAGCTGTCAGAGTAAAATCATGGACAACTTTTTAAAATGTGCAGCTCCCTCTTATTGGGGATTTATTATTCTCCTAAATTGATGGGATGACTAACTTAGAAAGAATGCATTCTTGACTGGGCTAATGTAGGCTGTGACACCTGGCAAGGCTGTGATTGATGTGAAGAGCTGGTTTAGGGGGTAAAATTAGATAAGGATGTGTCTTCAAATGCTAGACTATACTGGTTCTTTGTGATCTATGAGCCTTCCTTGGACGTAGGATTGATGTCTAATGGAGCTGGCTCTTCTCACTATGATAGGTTGTTATGATAATCTTGTGTCTGGCTGAAGTGTGCAACAAATGGCGCCGAGGAGATGAGACCAACCCCTGAACCAACGGATTGGCTGAGTAGAGTTTAAACCACACTCAGTTCTTTACTCTGATTGGCCAGCAGAGAAGTGGGAAATTCCCTCTGTCAGAGTATTTGAGTATTGAATCTGAAACAATGTGTTAGTTCTCTGATAATGCCCTGCGAGGTATTTCAAAGAGCCCGTATATACGAAACATCATATTTACCATTGAAGGTTTTTGCATTAATTAAAATAACTAGTATATCTTAGAAGTCGTGTTGACCTCTTTTGTTCCTAATACCAGATTTGAATTGACGCGACTTTGACAATTGGTGACCCCGACGTGATCTGGTAGAAGGGACTTCGCTGGATACTGTCCGGCCCATTTGGTCAACTCTTTCATCGAACCGTGTGTTTCACAAACTGCCCGGGCTTCTAAAAAGGTAAGCAGATACCTGTTGTTAAATAACCAAAGATCTGCACATTGGCTTTATCCAAATTAATTTTGTGAAACACCTGTCTGATGTAAGTGAACTAAATTATGAAACTATTATGAGTAGATAAGCACAATATTGTGACATGCAAACCTTTGCTAAATGTGATGTTTAAAACCATGGGACCAGAGAGTGTTGATTCTACCGGCAAGGTCCGCTAAGAGACGGCTAGGTTCAGGAGACAATGCTGACATCTACCGGCAAGGTCCGTAATTGCGACATACGGCTAAGGTTCGGAAGATATAGGGAATAATTGGTTTAAGTAATTGCTATCGGCAAGGTTCGTAACTACGACAGTACGACTAGGTTCGAAGAATTACACCGGCAAGGTCCGTAACTACGAGGATACGGCTAAGGTTCGGGAAATTTTAGATATAGGGAATAATTGGTTTAAGTAATTGCTATCGGCAAGGTTCGTAACTACGACAGTACGACTAAGGTTCGAAGAATTACACCGGCAAGGTCCGTAACTGAGATACGGCTAGGTTCGGAAAATTTTAGATAAATACTAGCGACTGGCAAGGTCCATAACTTCGAGGATATGGCTAGGTTCAGCGGAGTATTTTTTAAAGATAGTAGACGGGGCTGTGTGCCCAAATAGATTGTGAGTGGAATATAAGTGTGTCATTTATGACTGTGTGACATGGGTGTCATTTATGACTGCGTGACATATTTGACTGTATGATAGGATTATGACTGTGTATTGTGAGTGAGGGCGATAACTGTGTACTATTTTTGCTGTGTGATAACTGTATACTACGCTTAACTGTGTACCATTTTTGGCTGTGAATACAAATAATATTTTAAAACAGTAAATAATGAGAATAACAAATAGGAAATAAGGTTTAAATTGTGCAAACGTTAACAAAAGACACCCATAGGAGGTACTATAAAAAGTTAGACAGTGCGAGTGTTGTCGTATGCATAAAAGTGTGAATGATAAACCTGTATACCTTGATAGAAAACAAATTGGGAAACAAAAGACGTTTGTGGCTGTTCAAACGGTATAATTTGGGAATAAATTTTGGATTTGTGGTTACTCAAACCATATAACCCGTCAGTGACAATCGAAAACATGAAATGAAAAGTGATGAATGAGTGTGACTGAACTAAAACGTTTGAACTGATATATTTGAAATATAACATTTGGTGTTTGACATAGCATAATACTGCTTTTGAATAGTTGTGTCGAAGCAATTCGGATTAGTATTTGATTTGACGTTTGATGTTTGACCGTGCAAAATACTGGTTAAACAATTAGACCGAAATAATTCGGTTTATAAACGTGCACCAACTTTAACTAATTAGGTGGGAATTATTTGATTTAAATAAATGGACTGGAGTACTTTGAGTAACGGCGGAATATTGGAGGCGCGCTGGGACGAGAAAACAGCTCCTCACAGCTCCTCAAAAAGCCTGTACCCCCTGGACAAAAAAGAAGTAGAGTTGCGAGGGGAGGGGCTGGAGAGAGCGAAAGTGTGGCTTTTGGAGCCAGAAAAGACTGGCAGTTGGCTGGGAACGCATGTGGGTATCTGACGAGAGAATGTTCTAAACTTGCTCACCGAACGCAGAAGTGCGTCATGGGTGAGAAAGTAGAGAATATTTACATTTGCATTTTTGGTAATTTGGCAGACGCTCTTGTCCAGAGCGATTTATGGGAGCAATTGGGGTTGAGTGCCTTGCTCGAGGGCACATCGGCAGATTTTTCGCCTGGTCGGCTCGGGGATTGGAACCGGCGACCTCTCGGTTGTTGGCGCGGCGCTATTGGTAACTAAACTGCCAGCCGCCCCATATGAGTTTAAGATTGTGGCGTTGTTGGATAATGTGATTGGAATAAACTGACCATAAGTAATGTTGTTTTAGACGTAATGTATAATATAGTACAAAGCAAATAGAGGGTTAAACTGAACTAATTATCATGGTAGAGCTAACGTAGTACAGTGAGGGAACTTCATTTTGTGTCAGAGGGTAAGATGAGATCATTAATGGTACTATTGGTGGAAATCTATTTATCATTTCAAGGCATGGAGTAACAATCTGCATTTATGAGTGTAAATTCCACGGCTGATGTGTTGATTGAATGGGTACGATGAGTATTTGGTTTGGTAATGTTGAATGGACTATTTGTAGCGTGTTTATGGGTTAAATAGAAAAACTAACTTATACAATAGGGAATCAAAAGGAGAGAGAGTTTTTTGCTGAGGTGAAAGCTACTGCGATTTTCATTTGGTGACGTCACTTGCTCTATGAACTGGGAGTAGTTACTTTGAGAGCATCGCAGATGGTGTGGAGTGACTGGCGATGTCCCTGGTTCGAACACAGGTAGGGACAGTAGACAAAGCTTTCGCAGTGGGGCTATATACCTAGATTACTATGTGGATTGAGAAATGTGAAAGGTTAAATGAGATAGCTTAAATAGAAATATTCTAGAAAAGTCTATGAAAATATGTTATAAGGTTACCATGCGCTCTCCCCGAAGGAGCAAGGGGAGGGTGAGAGACAGTATAGTTCAGATGGTAGGAATGTCATTAAGCGTATGCTGACCAACGATAGCAACTATTTGTTTTATTAATTAGGGCCTAATCAGAGAGAACAGTTAAATAAATTGAATAGCGAACTGAAATGGGTTAGCGGGAAAAATACAAAATAATTGGACGATTATAGAACGATAATTTATTTTGGTTAGGATGAAAGTATGCATTGGCTGTTGTGCTGGGGAATAGCGCCAGCCTGTAGTGGGTTATGGATTTGTTACATAAACTTATATTTTAAAGTAAAGTGATGGAATAGGCTACAATTATAGCATTATCAGAAAAAAGACACGATTTAATGTGAAATAGTTATTACAATTATTATTGATAGTTATTACAGTTATTATCATTGATCCAATAATGATATAAGGATAGTAGAGGAAGGCAGGGGATTTAATCTCATTTAGGGAAGTTATATTAGGAAGAAAATACCATTAAATGAGGGAACATTTGATGTAACCGTGATTGTATTGGCTAAAAACTCAAATATGACATTTACAGGGGAGACAGGAACAATAGAAGGGGAGACAGATTTTCCTAGGGCGTTGAATAAATAATTGATAAATGGATCATTTGAGATGAGATCACATGTAGCAGAGTTAGGGTAATCAATTAAATAATCATTGTATACTCGAGGAATTTTGAGTGGTTTAATGAATTAGATATGAGGAATTAGAATGATACAAACAATTATTGATGGGATAAGACTGGGAATATCTATCATGTTTTGTGTGTACTACCATCTTTAGATTATAACTAGGAGAAAGAGATTAGCTCATCTCAGTTAGGCAGTATTTAGGTCATAAAAGTGAGCTATCAAATTGAGTGAGGCCTGGCTATTTGTGATTGTTGTTTTTTCAAATTGGGTTAAAATGGGTTCACAGAGCCAGAGGCTGTACAGAGAAAGGTGGAGCCCCCATGTT